TGAAATATTTATACATGACTCATATTGGACTCTGTTTTTGTTTTCCTCTCTTCTTTTTTCAGGTTTTGTGAATATCTGGAAAAGTGTGTTGTGTTTTTTTAATGATGGAAAAATGAAATTAAAATGAAATTAACATAATCTATTAATTCATCTACCATGCAACTCAAAAAGTGTTTGATTTCTTATTTCTGTATATTTAATGTTACAATGTATTGTTTTTCTTTACTGCTCCACTCTACATATTGTCATGTAACCTGGTATTGCAATGCATGTGAGCAACACTGAGTATTTATTTTTTACATGGTTTGACTGTGTCACTCTGAGTTACCCTGATGACTCAGTGACACAATGGCCCTGCTGACTCTGCTAACGCTTCAAGAAGAACTCATCACTCTCATTTATAGCCACAAAGACAAAGATCACTCAGCCCCTGTTACATCAATAAGATATTTATTTGTTTGTTTTGTCTTTTTATTTTGTACAGTAAAAGGCCTTTTTGTTAATGACAGTCTGCATCAGCCAATCCTCTGCAGTCTAATCCAGTCAGCACGATTCTGATTGGCTGTTTGGGCTCACTCCCACCACCGAGCCCATCTCCCTTTGTGTGCAACAACAACAACAACAGAAAGGCAGCACTTTACACCACCGGGACACATTGTACATGAACCAAACATGAACTGTATAAAAACATCCATCTTAATAAAGTCATTTAATCTTGCATTTAGTTAAAGTTATTTCTTAAACCCAGAAAAATGCTGACAGGGTGAGATAATTCCACTTTCTCTCTGTGCAGTTTTGCTTGTTGTTTTTCTAAAGATCAGTGCTAGTACCTCAAAAAAAGACACCGTAAGGCAGATCACTGCAGGAATGTTAAGAAAATGACACTTGATTTAAAAGACATATTTTTAAAAAGTTTATTCCTGCTGGAAACTAATGGAATTATCTCAGTCTGTGAGCAGATTCTTCAACTTTTAAGGCTAAATGACTTAAATAAGAGCGAGATGTTTTTATTTTCTGTGAACATGAAGCAGAACAAACCTGTTAAGTCTGAGGTTTGAGTCTCACAATGCTGGGAACAAAATGGCTCCCTGAAAGTTTCCCTTCAGGATGTCAGGATGTCACAGAACTCAACAAAGTCTCTCTGCATGAAATTCTGGCTCTGCATCAGGTCGTCTTCAGAGGGGAAATACTGCATGCTGTCCTCCTGCAGACGCAGACTGTCCTCCTGCAGGCGCAGACTGTCTTTGTGCAGGCGCAGACTGTCTTTGTGCAGATGTAGACTGTCCTCGTGCAGTACCAGGATCTGTCCTGGTGGCGTTGTTGAGCCGTGTGGGTTGGGACTGTCTAGGAGGGCTCCTCTGGCATTCTCCAGGACGCCCAGGTATGAGTCCATGTCAGTGAGCTCCATGTCACTGTCGGAGCTGCTGCCGCTGTCGCTTCCCACTGAGTCGGAGCGCATGTGCAGCATCTGGTACTTCTCGTGCATCAGAAACTGGTTGGTGTTCTTGGGGGCCCTCATCCCCCTCGCTCTGTTTCCCTTAACGTTAATGGGTCGGAGCGACATCACCGGCCTCTGGAGGTGTCGGGGATGATGGAAATGATGACGTTGAGGGTGTTGATGGTGGTGATTGCGCCCTCTTGGCCTCCCTCCCCCTCCTGTCCTCCGCCCCTGTGGGCGCCCCCTGCAGCTCTTGGACCAGCAGTGCTTCCTGCGGCTGGCAGCGTCCCTCTGTGGAGCCTCTTTTCCATCCTGCTGCTGCTGGCAGCTCCTCCTGCTCATCATCTCTGAGAGCATTTTCTTGTCTTTCTTTGCAGTCGCCTCCCTTCCTCCCTGCCGCTCTCCTTCACATCCTCCTCCCCGCACGGTGGCCCACACAACAACAAAGAGAGGCTGGTTTCTGTTTTTCTGGCTCAGATCACAAATGACCTCCCTCTCACTCAGAGTCTACCTTTTCACTATTCTGTCGCTTTTTTTCTTGACCTCTGGCTTTGGCTGGTGCATAGCCTGCTCTTCCTCCCCCTGCAGAGGCAGCTTGCCTGATCGGCTGGCTCCCTGTCACGCCCTCCTCTGATTCTCTAATCTCTCTTCTTCACCTCTCTGAAAGGCAAATCAGCTCCTTACAGCTCTGATTAGTGAACTGAGGTGAGCTGTTGAGGGGTGTTAAGCGTCTTCTAGCTGATTTAAAGCTGGTTTTTTTTTTCAGAGTTTTAGGCCAGTTGCTGTAGTGCACTCAGCTCTGACCAGCACTGACTGTGGCTCTGCCTTCCTCTCAGAGCCTGGATAAAGAACTGGAAGGATCCATTCGTAGGTTTACCAGAAGGGGGTGCAGTGTTTGCAGGTTTCTCCACAGACTATTAATAACAATGTAATATGACAGATTTTTATAAAATATAATTTCTACATATTAGTATAAACTATTTGAACATAGATGTCAGCCTGCAGGTGCCCCAGATTGCGTTCTGTGGTTGTTATAAGCATTAAGCTGCTCCCTGCAGCAAGATGGTTCACTCCGCCTCAGTTTTAGCAGCTGAAATCTGATCCACAGCTGCTGCTGTTACTGCCCCCCTCCCCACCCCCTCTGACAACAGACACACTGTACAGCAACAACATTCAGCAGCACTGAGCAGGACGACAGTGGTAGTCACCGCAACAGCACTAACAGTTGTGGGTTAGTTATTGTGTCATGCACGATCGAGTACCAGCTGATGTGAACTTAGAATACCATCACAGAGGTGAAACTTTTGTCTGAAAATAACCCAGTTTCTTATATAACATTACATTACAAACAAAACGCTTCTGTCATCTTCTGTCCCAAACTCTACAAACTAAATGTGGTGTGGCTCTGTGGACTGCACTGTCTGTCAGTTGGTCCAGCACTTTGGTCCAGACTGAAATATCTCAACAAATAGGCCTAATGGATGGATTAATATGAAATGTTTTACAGGCATTTAAGGTCCAGGGCCAATGCACCTGACTTTTATTGTGATCTCCTGACTTTTCATCTGGTTCCACTATGAGGTTTACGTTTGTGGTTTTACTAAAATATCTATTAACAACTATTTGATAGTTTGACATGAAATTTGGTTCAGTGACATTTAGCATAAATTATAATGACTTTTGTGATCCCTTGGATTTGCATCTAGTGCCATCATCAGGTTGAAATTTTAATTTGTCCAACACTTTGAGTTTTTTATGACCAAATACTTGCAACACTATTTTTTTTACTTTGTGTTTAGTACTAATGTTAGCATTATAAAATGGTAAACTAAGATGGTGAACATGGAAAATGTTATACCTGCTAAACATCAGCATGTTTACATTGTTATTGCAACTATTTTAGCATGCTGATGTTAGCATTTATCTCAAAACACTGCTGGTCCTAAATACAGCCTCACAGAGCTGCTCGGCCGTCGACTCTTAATCTCATTTAACATCATCCAACCAGAAGAACTCAAGGTTACTTTGCTAAATTGTGCAGCTCTTAAATCAACATATAATGAGCACTAAAACATGAACTATATCTCTAGGGTCATCTAAATCACATGACAGTCTTTCCTCCTAAAAGGAAACCGTTAAAACTAGTTCTTATATCCATAGCTACCACCAGCACAACTGCCTTGCAATTAAAATCAGTTCAAATATATTTACATTAATGAAGTTCAATTATGTTAAAAAAAATCACAGATCATGAAAGACCATAACAAGTCTTTAAGTTTGCAGCTGCACTACTGACCCCATGTGGCTGTGATATGTAATACACAGAATAGTTAGAATAGAAGGAGGTGGGTCCATGTTCAGTCCATCCTGCATTGTTGGATGGATCAGAATAGACTGCCTTGCTATACTTAGATCCTTACCGTTAGTCTATCATTAAATGCAACCTAAACTGGCAGTAAACAGTTCAAGACATAGTGAGTTTAGAAAGCTGAATGCATTTATTGTGAAAATGGAATTTAATTTGATTTATCATTGTAATGGAGTTCTGAATCAACTTAAGAACAAACAGAGTAGAGGATGATTACATCAGCTAATAACCTTGCTAATGACACATACGGTACACTATGCACTGCCTATTTTGATCCAAGAAATCATCACCATCATCAACAAGGTCATAATCCTGCTAATATTAGTTGCAGGAGCAAGTTGAATTTATTCGGCATACAGCTGGACAAAGTCGTCTCTTTTAATGTTATTTATAAGTGACAGCTATTAAAAAAACATATTATCAAAACACATACTAACAAATCGGTTATTTTTGGGTAAAACACTTATTATCAAAAAAACAAAATAAGAGTAAATTAATAAATTAAAATCATAAAATATAAATTCCATAAAGATGGAAATGACTGACACAGCTTATATGTCTTCACAGCTTAATTTGCTCTTTGATGAGGATATAGTCTTAATATAAGAGCTCATATGCAAAAAAGTTGTAGTTTTACTATTTCAAACGCATTTTTATGTAATAAGTAATAACGCCGAAAAGGACAATTAGTTCTACTGGACGTGTCAAATGAAAAACTCTCAACTCAACGGTTAAACATACAGTATTTTATGCCCATTCAGTGCCCATTAAGAAGAAGGTGTGATATTTCTGATGTAGCCTACTTATCTGTCTTCATGATATTCTCAAAGAATTATGGACTACTACTGTCAGATGGCAAGATATCAAGTCCCTGACCTCATGTTACATCTTTGTTTGCCACTGTCACCGCTGTTACTGAGCTGCTGTTAAATAATAAATAGATATTTGAAAGATCGTCGAAAGTCTGTCGTTTTATTCCTTGATTCCGTTTAAATTGGCCTATATTTTAATTACTCTTACTCTAGTCTGACTGCTCATGCAATGTTCGTATGTTTGATAAATGTTGAACATTCAAAACTGATTTTAATGAAAAGAAAAAGTCTTGAAGTAACTGTCACGGAGCGACTGTAAATAAAGTTTCTTTGAATGTAAGTCAGCTGCTTCGGTTCAGGATCACAACAAACATGGCGTCGGGAGGCGGCTAACTGAGGGCAAAGGCTGCACATCCTCTAAACCCGTTTTAGTTAGACGTTTTTGCACTAAATAACAGATCATATTTGCTCGCCTCGATCTCAAGATGGAGTCCGCCCCTTTTCCAGAGGAGGTGTCGGAGAGAAAAGTGTGTGTTGTCGGGTCGGAGCTGGTGGAAAACTACACTGTAAGCTATGTTCGGTTTAACGTCAGTTAGCTTAGCTTGTAGCTAGTTTAGCCTTGGGTCTGTTCAAGTGACAGCGAGTTAATGTCGAGGAAGTTACCCTATCAGTAAATACAAATTGTTTAGTCATTATACTTCTGTTTTATGTTAGCCCCCATGTCTTTATCCTCCCTAGGGTGGACTAAAAAGAAGGACAGGACTAACAAGCTAACAGCTAACTGCCGTGCTAACTGTCTCAAACAGTTTCAGAGTGATCACATCGTGTCCTCTGAAGTCAGCAGACCTCACAGACCGCTGCGGCTTGTATTTCTCTGTCAGGAATTATACTTGATGTCTTTATGGTGTAACACTCTGTACTGTTAGGTTTGACAGACAGTAACCACCGACACTGCTGATAAAAAATCAAGATCGCGGAGCCTCACAGCTCCACTTATTTTCTGACCATAAGTTAAACCAAGTCGCTTGGAAGCAATTTTCTGCCAAGAAAAAAAACAGTTGGGTTTGGGATGTTAACTCTAGCACATTCTGACTTTCTACCTTAATGATGGGGAAGTCAAACATTGACTTTCTAAGTTCAAAATGATAAGCTAACCAGTGTGTAAGTCATAATTGTGAGGTGAACTGAAAGTAAGGATGCTTTCAAAAATAATGCCACGAGTTTTATTTATCAATCAATTCTCAGTCAGATTATCAAATCAGTTTTGTGTTGGGCCACACCCATTAGAAAATAAAATAAAGTATTCAGTGATGGCGACCACCCAGTTTATCTGATTTGGCAGTTAAATTTGCTATTTGCATCAACATAATTAAAAACGTTGCATCTCAAGTCGGTCTAACTATGGACCAAATGTGTTGCACTTGTCATCAAGCAAAAGAGCCTCAAGATGTGTTCAGACTGAAGACAAAGCATACTGAAAGGTTTTTGTAGTCTTAATTATTGGCCCCAGACAGCTGATGTGTGTCTGTGTTGCAGTTCAGACTCTGATCTCTGAACTTTACAACAAATCCAACTTCCTTATTTTCCACCAGTTTCTCTCTTTGTCTCTCTAAAGCTTTGGGATACGTGTGAATTTTCATGGTCACATCAATTCGTGACCCCCAGGGGAAATTTGCATCTACTCGATTTATTCCATCATGCTGCCATTGAAATTTGCTGAACACACCTGAAAAATATTACTATTTAAATCAATTTGAAATAAATTATTGTTGTCTTAAAATGGTCCACTGGAAAACTTTACCTTCTATACTTCAAAAGAATAATGCCATGAACATTTATTATTTAGTCCATTGCATCTCAAAAACCAGCTGGATCACAGCAGTGTTTAATTCAGTCAGATTGTAATCACTGTGTGTCCTGCTTTGGTGTTTCAGGTTTACATCATCGAGGTGATGGATGGAGAGCACAGATGGACTGTGAAGCACCGCTACAGTGACTTCCACGACCTCCACGAGAAGGTGAGAGACCATTCTCGTTTTGAGTTCAGTTTGGTGCTGCGATGCATGAAGCAGTGTTTCTTACTGACTGAGGATTGAAAGTGTCAAGTTTTTTATGCTGCAGAGCACTAAACATTAATAATGAAATGTATTCAAATACAAAGTATTAGATTTTTAGAGTTTAGGGCCAATAGCAATAACTGAATAATAGCAAATTTGATAAATAAAGGTTAACCTTTCTGATTTTTTTCCTACTCTTAATACAACCTTTGCAAACAATTTTTAGTTACTGTAAGTGTGGCTCTTTTCTTCTCTATTTTGGTGTTAATTCACCCCCACAGCTGTTGTAAGAAAAGGCTCCATGTGACTGGACATAATTATTGGCTGAAGTTCCATTATCGGAACACTAGTTAATAATTCACATTTCTCATTCATCAGAGGATAATACATTAGCCACTGATATATTGTTCATTGTATATCTCGACACAGCATAGCACCACAATGCATTACATCAATATCTGAAATTCACTGTTGGAGTACATTGTTGAATAATTTAGACCAAAAAATGTTTACTGAATGTGGACTGTGATTGATTTTCAATCTGCTATCTGAGAAATGTTTTGCAAAAGTGTAAAGAAGCTATGATTTGTATTTACTGTGCTAAAACATAGAAATGACGACAGCAGGAGTTTGAGTTCACAAGTGAAACAGAACAGAAAACAAGTGTTTCAGACTGCTGAGAAAACATCTGTGGGTTTGTACTTCCCAAAGACAGAAATGGAGAGACCAGATTAGGTCTATAACTATTATTCGTTTTGATTAATCAATAAATCTTTATAATGGTAATGCCCATCACAATTTCCCTGAGCCCAAGGGCTGTTGTTTTGTCTGACCAACAGTTCAGAATCCAGGGATATTCCATTTATCGATGTAATTGATGATCAAGTTATTATGAAACTAATTGTTAGTTTTATTCTGATGTGTGTTTCCCTCCAGCTGACTGCAGAGAAGAAGGTTGACCGACGGCTGCTTCCTCCTAAGAAAATTTTAGGAAAGAACTCGAAGAGCTTGGTGGAGCGGCGGCAGAAGGAGCTGGAGCTCTACCTGCAGACGCTGCTGCAGCAGTTCCCACAGGCCACGCCCTCGTCGCTCGCCTGCTTCCTACACTTTCACCTCTATGTGAGTACGCCTGAGGCTGTTATTACCTATAACCTCAGAACATGTACTGTTATCATGCTAGTACTACACCTGTACTCACTCTACTGGTACCTCATTCATAATGGCATGTGCTTGAGTATATGCTCGCATACTGCAGCCAGCAAATAGACAGCAAGCAGCCAGATGTGACGGTTGAACATGTGATTCCAAAGCTGAGGTCAGGGCTTTGTGCAGACCAGTTCTTCAACAACAAACTAGGAAAGCCGTTTCTTTCAAGTCCTGGTTTTGTGTACGAGGTTAATATCATGTTGAAACAGGAAAGAGCCTTCCTCAAACTGTTGACACACCAGTGTTTTTTGAAATCTGTCTCGCGTGAGTCTCCTAACTTTGTTGAAGCACAATGATAAATTCCTGGAGTACCCCTTTTAAAAGGCCACTTTATCACTTTAATGTGGTTCTCCTATGAAGCTATATTCCTTTATAAAAGCAAAAACGCAAACCATTCGTTGGTGACTGCTTCCCCAGTGGGATGATTTGCTTCTATTGTGTTGTTAATATAATTGGTAACTGAATATCTTTTATGTTTTGGACTGTCGGACAGAGGATGCTCTCTTTTGCTAAATACTGTAAGACAGACTTTACTACAGTAAAAGCTTTTTCATTTCAGTTGCCTCAGTTGTGTCTCAACTCAGATTTTTTGGGTTGTGGTGCAACACGGTGATCATGTCAACAGTGGCTGAGCAGCAGAAAACAGTCACAGGATCATGTCGTAGGATTAAATGTAAATGAAGGAACAATTCTATGCTTGTATTGTGAGTAAATGATGATTATTCCCTCTGATGAGAAGCACTGCTCCAGTTGGGTTCGGCTTTGTGATGATCAGTGACTGTGATCACATGACGAAGACAGAACAACAGACCAGTGTTGTCTGAGTCCTCAGAATTCTGCAGATTAAACAGCCGAAGGAAAGCCCCTTCTCATGTGACGTGAAATGATCAACACATGACAGTCCTGGACGATTAAGATCTGAATGTTTATTATTCAGCTGCATTAATGCCATCTCGCCATATAACTATAACGTCTTTGAAAAAAACAGTGGAATTGGTTCGCTGTCTGAGGTGAGGTTCAGGCCTCTGCAGGTGTTGCTCTGGACCCTTGTGGTTTAAGTAATCCAGGTTAATGTCACATTATCCAGATAAGTTATCTTGTTAATTATCAACCATCTAACTTTTCAAACACAGTCAGAGGTTTTGATTTGTTTTTCTTGGATGAAGCAATCTTCAAAAACAGTGTATTGAAAAACATTTGTCAAGAAAGGCGACGAAGAGTAAAGAGTTGAAACCACGATCATCTGTTTGTTGAGCAGATAAGAAATTAGATGATTTAATTTAGTCTACAAACGTAACTTCTATTTTGAAGTGAATCCAGGTTTTAACAGACTGTTTGTCTCTTTCAGGAAATTAACGGCATCACAGCAGCATTGGCTGAGGAGTTGTTCCATAAAGGTTAGCTTCACCTCTGACCTTTGACCTGTTTTCCCTCATGTAGTGTTTCGAGAACTGTTAAAAATGAATGAAGCTGCTTCAGTGGAGTGGTGTGTCTCCTCCCTGTGTAGCTGCAGAGGCTCTCTCACCGAAGCTCTTACTGATAACTGTTATGAAACACCGACTAAGTGAAGTGTGCCAGAATGCTCTGGCACTCTGCCAGAGCATTCTGGCACAACACTCCTTGGGCTCAGGGAAATTGTGATGGGCATTACCATTATAAAGATTTATTGTTTAATCAAAAAGAATTAACAGATTCATTATAGTTATAGACCTAGTCTGTAACCTAGAATGCTCTGGCACTTAATTTATTTATCAGGGACAATACATATCAATTGACATCTTTTGGGTGTTATTGTGGTAGACAGTCAAATGGCTGGTTTTCCTCCAAAAATCACTAAAACTGAGTTGACTCCTTGCTTGCACAATGACATGGTGTGAAACAGCTGTCTATAGAAACAGCTGTTAAGTTTAATTTCTCCATATTAGACTCAGCACTTTTTGTTTTTTGGGTTGCACAGAAAACATTTAGAAACTAGTTTTAATAGCTTATTATCTGTTGCAGCTGAATAGTGTTACGGTGTGAGTAGTTTCCTCTAAATAACTGTTAAAATTTAATTTCTCCTTGGTCGCCTACACTTCATGTTTATACAAATATAACTTGACTACTATATAGAAAAACTGTTGCAGGTGTTTTAAACATCTGGTTTGTAGCAACACCAGTTGTGAAAAGTTAACTGACTACCGTGCAAAAATGTGAAATGTTGAGATGTATTGTGTCTTTGTTTATTTGTGTGTTTGTCTGTATATGTGCTGCAGGTGAGCAGTTGCTGCAGGTTGGCGAGGTGTTTTCTCTGCGTCCTCTGCAGCTTTACTCCGTCTCCCAGCAGCTCCGTCTGGCCAAACCGACCTGCTGTAACGGAGATGCCAAAACCGACCTTGGGCACATCCTCGACTTCACCTGCAGGCTGCGATACCTCAAGGTCACACACCTCTTTATTTAGCTCAAACCCACATCGTACAGTTTATTGTTTTCTCCTGACTTCCCTTACGGCAGCAGAGGTGGTAAACTTTCTCACTGGTTTTGTCTCTGTTGGTCAGATCTCTGGCACCAGAGGTCCAGTAGGAACCAGTAACATCCAGGAGAGCAGTCTCCCCTTCGACCTGTCTGTTTTCAAATCATTGCTGCAAATTGAGGTAACTGTCTGTTTGTCCTCAACAAAACTCGTGTTTGATGATGGCTAATTAACACCAGTTCTTCCCACATTTTATCCATTTATTCCAGACTATTATCCCAGTTTACTGCCTGGTTCATTCATTTGTGCATATTTGCAAAACAGTGCTGGAAACTTTGTGATGTCACAACTACCTGTGTTTGGTGCAGGTGTTGGTTGTGGTTAATTTCATTTTTGTATGAACACAGAGAAAAGCTCTACTGGCGTTGATTGTCATGTCAAGTCAGGGTTAAGTAAAATTGGATGTTTCAATATAGCTGATATGATAACTTCTCAATTTTGGATTCTCATGCCCCAGATAAAAACTTGAGAACTGAAAACATACTTAAGGTGTATTCTAGAGTTGTTTGACTTGTTTCAGTGTGATGATTGTAGAAAATGTTTTTCAGCTTGACTGAGGTGAAGAAGTTGCTTAATAGATAAAGAAAACATGTGATAGGCTGATGGAAACGCACTTTAATCTTTTTCGGACTAACTAAACATTGATGTTATAGCTCCTGCTTCGTCAGCTGTAGACAGAGCAGCAAAAACAAAGAACACATCTAGGACACATAACCTACTACTTATACATACTCATAAACACTGTTCCTGGTTCAAGTCTGGCTACAGACTCAAGATGCATGTCATGTCTTCTCTGTCTGCGTAGTGGTTGATCTAGACGAGACAAAGTCATGTCATCATATTAACACAAACGTGATCACCAGCAATTTAAATGACATGATGTATCAGAAGATCATAAAACCTGCTTCTGTCTGTCTTCAGGTCAGTGAGTGCAACTCTCAGCAGATTCAAGGTTTGTCGTCTCTGAGGTCGAGTCTGGCGACCATGAGTATCCACCGCTCCACAGAAACCATGATGGTAAAGTTGAGATTAAATACTGTGGTATACGTGTTTATGCAGTGTATTGTCTGTTGCATATTGATTTGTTTATTGTGATGTGTACGCTGTCCTCCAGTCGGTCCTTGTCCCAGAGGCGAGCGAGTTCTCACAGTGGGAACCCGAGGGGGTGGAGTCTGGCTGTCCTGTCACCGCCGTCATTCCCACGTGGAAAAACCTGACCACGCTGGACATGAGCCACAACTGCATCAGCACCATCGACAGCTCAGTGGTGAGACACACACCCACAGACAAACTGCAGCCAGAGTTCGGTCGATAGTGGTTTTAAAAGTCAGCACAGGTATTTAATTTTTTTCTTCACAGGAGAAATACTGACTGACTCCAGTTTGTCTGTCTCACACTCTCTCAGAAATAAATTATCAATCTATATATTTGTTTTATTTTTGTCAGTGTTTAATACAATGATACAACAAGTCAATATCTGGAGTGAAAGGAAACATATGAAGCCTCCAACCCTCAGATTTCAACCCTCTACCTGTCTAGACAAAAATAAAAAATACATGATGGTCAATATAAATACTCAGTACAAAGCTTTGCTGGCTCCTCTGCCTGCACTCTCTTGCATCTGGAGGTCAGCGCACTCTGTCCTTGATATCACCCACTCTGTCTTTACAGCTGGGTATATGAATAAAGGAATAAAGAAAAGTTTATGCTCCATCCATCAGTCTCTGTGCACTGACACTGAATTTTTCTGTGTTGCAGAAACTGATTCGTAAGGTGGAGTTTCTGGATCTGAGTTACAACCAGCTGTCCTCGGTGGAAAACCTCCAGGTATGTGGCGGCGTGATGAAGAACGCATCAGCTCTGTAAACTCATCCCACCGTCAGTATCATTTCTAGGGCTACAACTAATGGTTACTTTTTATTGTTGAATAATTTACACAAAAAAATATACACAATGAGTCCAAGGTGACGTCTTGTTTTGTCCAGTTTATGATCAAAGAGAGGAACGCAGCAAAGCCTCACACTGGAGAAGCTGCAACCAAAGAATATTTGGTGACTATTCAGATCAAACTAAGGCAAGAGTAATTTTATGCTGCATTCACTTGAGATGGGATCAAGACTTTCTGAGGAACACACACACACACACACACACACACACACACACACACACACACACACACACACACACACCAACACGAGAGATGTTACATCCAGTAACATCTCTCTTTGACAATGTTTTCATTAATCAACCCTGTGAATTACAGTGTACATACAGATGTCGTAGTGTGAATCTAGTTACAACATAACAGTATTTACTTCAGTCACACTTACACTCAGCCGCTGCAACACGCAGCGGGTCCTGCAGTTAAAATAAAGACAACCTTACAGATACGTAGTCTGTCATTATAAGCACAGTACAGAACTGGTTGTTTTGTGGTTGCAGCACCTGTACAACCTGGTCCACGTGGATCTGTCCTATAACAGCCTGCGGGTCCTTGAAGCTGCTCACACCCGTCTGGGCAACATAAAAACCCTTCGCCTGGCTGGCAACCAGCTGGACCGACTGACCGGCCTCACCAAGCTCTACTCTCTGGTCAACCTGGACCTCAGCCACAACCAGCTGGCCCAGGTAACTGTACCAAGGATATCCTGATGGTTCTGTGGTCCAAATGACATAGATACATAAACAAAATTGCATCACAAGAACAAAAAGAAAACATGTAGAAAATTCTTATCACTTACACTTATTAATTGCTCTTCATTATTCTGTCATTTCGCTACCCTCGACTTCCCACTGAAGACATGATGTGTCCAAAGAATTAGAAGAAATGTAAATGAGACACACTTAAGAAAAACAATGTAAGACTGTTGGGAAATATATCCAGCCTGAGCTCTTGTAATAAGTCCTCAATTTAAAGCCAGTGTGTGCGTGTCTGTTTCCAGTTGGAGGAGATCAGGAACATCGGCTCGCTGCCCTGTCTGGAGAAACTCAACCTGTCCAGTAACCCCATGTGCATCATCCCAGACTACAGAACCAAAGTCCTGGCCCAGTTTGGAGACCGCGCAGCAGAGGTACACCACCAAAACCACCACATCGTTCACATTACTACTGTACTCTCATTACTATTACTACTCCTGCAGCAGGGTTACACAGCCAGTAACAAAATACTTCTCCCTACTGTTAATATAATACTGCTAATATCACGACTGCACAGACAAATGACCAACACCACAAGCACTGTTTTCTCTCTGTCAGTTGCTGCTGTTGCTGCTAATGCTGCTATTACTGTAACTGCAAATACCACTACTGCCACTAATATGGAAGCTACTCATACTACTACTAGAATCACTAGTATATCTTCATTATTAGTGTAATAATACTACTGCTACATCTGTTTATGCTACTTTATGTTTATGCTGTTATTACTATTAATTCTACAGTTGTGTGTATGTGTTGACAGATGTTTGTTTATCCTCTTGTCTCTGCTTCAGGTTTGTCTCGACAGTAAAGTGACGACAGAGAAGGAGCTGGACACAGTGGAAGTGTTGAAAGCCATTCAGAAAGCCAAAGAAGTCAAAGACAGGATGAGCAGCAGCGACAAGAAGGTAAACTCTTGTCACACTGAAGCCTCCTGTCTTCATTTATTTTAATATTTTTAGATTATTTAGAATTTTAACTGTATATTGTTGATACTGTTTTGTAGTGTGCGACTGTGTCTGTTGTTTATAATTATTTTTGTATCAGTATTTTGATGCTGCCCCGTGGCCGCATCTCTTTTTACCTGGTTAAATAGTGAAGAATGAAAAAATCAAGCGGTCAGTGTTAGTCAGTGTTACCATGATGATATGGTCAGTTATATTGACAGTTTGCACATTAAAGATCATTAAATAGTTCAGATATGTTAAGAGTTTAGATAATTAAATGATTCATTTTTCGTTCGTATTTCCAGTGTAAATAAGTCATTTTTGAATCTCTTTTAGGACTGTGGGACAGCAGAGCTATGAGGATTTTACTTGACAGCACTGAATATTTTATTTTAACACTGACACTGTCAAAGGAAATGAACTCATGTTGTGCACTGATTTGGCTACTAAGACTTCAACGTTTGAACTCTCATGAGCAGTACACAACCACTGTTGGATGTTAATCTTTGTTAGTCGTAGACTATTCTCGTAACTTTCAGATTAACTAACCCTGAAAGCTGCTGTAGTGGTTTTATAATTCTAACCTGATCATAGAGCAATCAGAGATCACCACAGGACAAAATTACCAATTACAGGTGACGAGTAGTGGTTCTGATATCAAGTTAATGACTAACATATCTGAAGCCTGAAGATTTATCAGATGTTACTAAAACCATCAGAGCGGCCTGGTTTATTAGCTACCTGTGCTAACTACATGCATGTTTGTTGGGGTCAGAATAGCTGCAAACCAATAATTAGACCTTTTTAGATTAGAGAGACTGTGCACATCAGCAGCAGAGTTAATATGTAATGAAAATACAATCAATAAGTCAAACAAGTATGGGCATGAAAACATGTCTGATTAGGTGTGTGAGGTTGGGAATCTGACTTGGAAACTTGTTGCAAAAATTCACCAAATATAAACTGATCTGTGAAATTCATCATCGAAATCTGTGTGTATTTAAAATGTTTAAACATAGCCTGCAAAATTGTGTTTAATGCATCCACACACATCAGTGATGTTTTGTCTTAGATAAATCCCACCTTATTTTGAGGCCTTGCTTTTAGTCAGGAGAGCTAAGTTTCATTACTGAGTGTGTTTTAATCTAATTTACTTTGACTACCATGCGCACTAAATAACAGTCAAGCCACATGTTGGTCCAACTTTTAAGCAGTAAGTGCCTTTATTTTGAAGACTGGGAACACAGTTGGAAAGTGATGTTTGTCATTCTTGGTGGTTTTACTGTACATCTTCTGAGCCACAAAGCTTAATGAGGTCGCAGGAGAAAACAGCTGTCCACAGATGTTTTCAGGGGTTCACAACAGAAACTCATGTTTTTTTTATGGATTTAAAGAAAACTCTGAAACCTGTCATGGTTCATTAGGTTGTGTTTAAACTTACAACAAACAGATTTAGCTCTTGAGCTTCACAGTTTGGTGATGCATGTGATTGTACAACTTGAGCAGAGGCTTTTTGTTTCAGTGGAACAGTCTGTGTCTTTTAAATTGGCTGAAAATCAGTTTTGATATGTCTTTAGAAAGTGCGGCTGCCTGTTGCTCTGCTGCTGATGGAGCTGCTGGTTGCAGGTTTTTAGGATGTGATCTGCTTGATGATGTAGGTGACTGCAGCTCTCTGAAGGCTTCCTCCTCTCTGTCCTCTCGTCAGATCAGTGAGGAGACCAGGTTGTCTACTGCTGCACCTCCTCACCTCTCCTCCTCCTCCTCCTCTCCCCCCTCCTCCTCCTCCTGCTGCTCCTCTGCTGTTGCTCCTCCCGCTGTCACCACCACCACCACCTCCTCCTCCTCCTCCTCCTCTTCCTCCTCTTCCTCTTCCTCCTCTTCTTGTCCGGCCCAGCAGGCTACCTGCCCCAGCCAAGGTAATCATGTATGTATCAGGCTGTGCAGGGCTGAGGGAGGGATGGTGGGCGGTTGTTTTTATTTTTGCTGTAAGGCAGCAGCCAGACAGGAAAGTGTGAAACTGTTCCCTTGCTCTTTGTCTGGAATGTGAAACAGGCAATTTCCCAAAACAGCAGCTGGATAAATCCCAAACACTGGAGTAGATATTGGAACAAGAACAAACTGACGATTATTTTCATTACTGACAAATCTGCCAGTTGTTTAGTCAAAAAATGTGTGAGAAAATAGTGAAAAAATGTCCATGACAGTTACTCAGAGACGGAAGTGACTTTTTTGTTCAACCAACAGCTCAAAACCCAAAGACATTCAGTTTACACTGACACAAAACAGAGACAAGTCGCAAGTCCTCACAAGTTTTGACATGATCAATGACTGAAAGGATAAATCAGTTAATTAATGATTTTTTTATAAATTTTCTGTTGAACAGCTTATTTATTAATTGGCTATTCATGAACCGCTGTAGCCCTCTCTAATTTAAGTCTTCGCTCCAATTCTTTCTCTCTGTTTGTAAAACTGACACATAGAGTTCAATCCCTGGTCACAAAATGTTTACCGTTGAGGCCGTAAGCCTCCCAGACTCTGACACATCTGACATCTTACTAACCACATTTATTAAATATAAAACTTTTATGTTGTGAAATAGTTCCTCTGCTCTTCATCACTAAAGGTTAATGTTTTATTCTATTAAAGTGTTTTTATGATGTTTGGGAAGGCGGCCAGGAAACCCTGCACATCTGTTTAGCCTAGCTTAGCACAAAGACTGATTAGCATAGTTCCATCTGTCTGTCTTACATGTTGTATCTTTTTTATTGAACACGTTTAGAAACAGAAATGTAAAAAAAAGAAAACATAGAGTTTGTCTGGTTGCTGCCTTCAGTTAAGATTTTCTCTAATTTGAGATAAACGACCTTTGATCAGTCCAGTGGACGTTAACATGAAACTTAATGTTTTCTTCAGATAATGATGATTAGCATTATTGCAGATAACAGACGTGTTTTTCCACTGCAGCTGTGTGTTGCTGTGAGTCCAGTTAGGTAGCGTGGCAAACTTTGACTGCATCAGGAACTGTAAACATTGGGGATTCATGCTTAAATTAAGACACAGGATATCAAATGCTGCAGTGGGAAACAATCACAACGTGTATACCAGACGAGGCTGATGAAGCTAATCTTCTTCTTTCACTCCTGATAGAGCACGTCTTGTTTTATCCTCTAACCGAGATGTCCTCAGCTTTATGTTTCATGTTGCAGATTCTTTCCTTCTTGCTCAGTCTGAGAGGGAAAGCAATCTTTTTCTTTGATTATAACTTTAAAAATGTCGATCAGTTACAGGAGAATAATTAATCAGAGACAGATACTAATGTTTGGCGATCATGTGACAACCTGCTGATGCTCACTAACCTCCTTTTGATAAACTGTTGACTAATAATGTTTGTTCTGGCTTAGTGCAGGCTGCGTACTGTGTGTTTAAATCTATAGAGTAAAAACTGAATGCAAATTGTTTTTAATTGAAATTTGTGTCTGATTCAGTCAAAATGTTCATGATGAACATGATCTATATGAATGCGTGAGTGAGTTTTCTACAGAGGCTTGGAGCAGCCATGGAGGTTTATTATTTTAGGCCCATTATTCTCTTATCAAAGTTAATTAAAAGCTTAAAAGTAATATTTTTTTCAGTGTAGACATTCAGCGTCTCATGCTGGCAAGAAGAACATTGTCAGGAAAATCGGTGAACTAATGAAATTATTGTGCACAGAATCAAATCATTTCAAAAATAACTACATCAGCTCTGAGCAGTGTCACATCAGTCAACTTTCCGCAGTGTCTGCAGATGTTCTTGTCAGCGTCACTGATCCGTTTGGTTTCCTGTTGCAGAAGTGATGAGCAGAGAAGAAGCCGCAGTTCCCCCCAGTGTTCTCCCTCCTGTGGACGCTGCACCTCCCCCTGAAAGCTTTAACACCAACACACACCTCCTGTCTGCTGAACCCACCCAGGTCGTCAGACACGCACACATCAAACACCAGGGTGGGGGGAGGGCCTGTTACCACGACAACCAATGGGATATCAGTTAGGAAGAGACAGGCAGTTTCCAAGAAGGGTTGAATCAAGGGCAAATGGACTTGGTTGTAGATGCTTGATGACGTTTCACCTCTCATCCAAAAGGCTTCAGAAGAGAAGAAGCCTCTTTAACGATCTACATTTTGTCGACGTTCATTGGCAAATTTGCATTTCACCAAGTGTTAGCATGCCATAGTAACATGGTAAATGTCATCAACATAACCAGCTAAAACATGATTACAATGTCACTTCAAGCAAGTTAGTGTGGTAAAGTACAGCTGAGGGAAGGGGCGTACAGATGCAGGCAGAATTTGTTTGGATGTTTGTTTACAGTCAGCCGGGTTCTAATGTTGCTCCATGTGTTTATCTGCAGAGACAACAACCTGCTGTCAATATGTCTGAACAAACACAATGTGGAGCTCCCACAAGTATTACTACCACTACAACTACTACTACTACTACTACTACGGCCACTACTGTCTGGTCAGTATCAAATAACAAGTTACTTGCATAATAAACAGTTCCAGTCACTTTTATTTCAAAGCTTTTGTGATTGATGTTAATCTTACCGTCAGTGAATCTACCTCCATGTTTCTAGTCGCTCGATGGCTTTTAATGTGAAACATATTTACAGGAAGTGTTGGGTTTCAGCCTGTTCAGCACTGACAATATTTTAACAGCAGTAAAAACAAAAATAGTGAGTGAATGATATTATTTGTGTTAATAATATCACCTTAGAGCAGTAGAGTGGTGAGTATAACATAACTTGTTGCACTGAAGGAATCAGTGCTGTGGAAATGCATATTTTACTAACACAGGAAGTATTAAGTTTGCAAATTAAAACAGGAGCAGATCAGAAAACTAAAACCCCACCTGCTACTATTTCCTTTTACTACTACAGCTGTACAGCTGTTACAACAAGTACTACTAATAATACAGTACTACTCGTACAGCAGCTGTAGTTTCTCCATGACTGTTTTTCAGGCAGCTCTGTGTTGTCGTTCAGGCCTCTGTAACAAGACCTGCAGGAAGTCAAGATGGAGGCAGGTGTAGTTCACCGTGTGTCCAGCTGGTGGCACTGCTGCCCTCCACAGGAGAACAGCATCACGACAAGTCAACGTAGTTAACACGATGTTACTGTGTTACCCCCAAATCTCTCATGTTCTGCTTTTTTTTCTACCAGTTTAATTGAGTTTATTAACTTACAGCAGTACATTTGGTTAAAAATGGGAGGGGTGTGTATGAAAGTAAATTGAGCTGATTGGATAACTGAAGTGAGTGAATGATGTAGTGTAAAGAAGTCATATTTAAACAGGTGTTTTGTCTGTGTTCAGGACATAATGGAAAACCTTGATAAACCCCTGTTTCTGTCTCTCTCTCCTCCAGTTGTGTCTGCTCCTCTTCCTCCTCCCGACCAGTAGAAACCAGCTGTTTGGTGTGCAGCGCCACCTGGTGTCCTCTGCTTCCTTCTCACCTGCTCTCCCTCTCCTCCTCTAACAAAGACTTTGTTACTCAGCTCTCCCAGTGTCTCAGTGCCACCTGGAGGGAGCAGAAAAAGAAAAAGCAGGAAGAGGAGGGAAAGGAGGAGAGGGAAGAGGAGAAGAGGTCTGAATCCAGAGAGGTTCAGTTCCGTGTGGAGGGCACCGAGGTCGGCAGTCCCAGGTAATTCAACCAGAAACCCTCTCTCACTGCTTTCTTGGTTTCTCAAAAGTTCTCAGTCAATCTTACTGGTTTCTGAGATCCCCGTAAAAGTCCCTCTGGTTTCTGTGATTCACATAAGGTCCTGTTGGTTTTTTGGTTCCCAATAGTTTCTCAGATCCACTTAAGATCACACTGGTTTCTGGGACTCCTTGTGGTTTCTTACAGCCCTTAAAATTATCACTGAGGTCTGGGATGGCTTAAAATTCAGACTGGTTTCTGAGATCCCTTAAAACTGGTTTCTAGGATCCACTAAAAAGTCCCTTGGTTTAGGTGATTCTCATGATTGCCACCTGGTTTCTGGGTTCCCAAATGGTTTCTCAGATTCCCTAAAGGTCCCACTTGTTTCTGAGATTCACAGACATTCCTGCTGGGGATTTTGACTGGTTTCTGAAATCCTAAAATTCACACAGGTTTCTGTAATCCCGTGAAGTTCTCACTGTTTTTTTGGATTTAGAGTGACTTCTGAGATCCTTTAAAATTCAAACTAGTTTCTGAAATCCCCTTAACTTCCAATATACTTTCTGTTGCAGTATTTCCAATACTTCCACATATCTGCAGCTGTTGCAGCCATGAGAGAAGGACTTTATAGATGACTGTTATTATAGACAGTGGAGGTCACGTACTCCATCATATACAATTAATTAAGTAATAAATCATCTGACATTTGCTTATAAACAGAAAGGAAATTATTTCAAGTACAAAAGAATGACTCATCCACTCTTTTATGCCTGTTTATCCAGTCCGGGCTCCAGGGACGGATACTTTGAGATGGGACTGGATGACACCGTGGAGGAGTCGGTCTGCTCCTCCTCTACGTCACTCGCTGCTCCTCCTGCAGAGGAGCTTGGTGGCCACCAAGGGGAACTGTCTGAGGAGGAGGAGGTGCACGTCAGTAAGGTTCTGTGGTGCTACTGCCTTCAGGTAGAAGAGAAGGTGGAGCAGAAGGAGATGTGCCTGGTGCTGACAGACCAGCTGTTGGGACTGCTGTACCTGTCAGATGATTTCAAACGGACCAATCAGGACGCAGGTAAGCACACAGTCAGCCTCAGTTGATCTTTCTTTTTATACTTCATGCAAACAAATACAGAAGCTGTGGTTGCTACTCTTGCTTTTCATATTTGTTTATGTGAATTGTGTTTTGCTACTTGTCTTGGATTGAATTAATTCATCTAAGTTCATGTCAGACCCTTCCTATGTTTTTCCTCCTCACAAAAAATCTTGAATGTTCTGCTGCTGCAAATTTGAGACACATTCATCCTTTCTAACACTGTTGGGCTTTTTTTTTCAAAGTTCTGTGTTCGACAAAACAGACACAGATCTGACAGACAGAAGCATCACCAGGCCTGATGCAGAACTGTGTTCACTAGCAGGAAGTGAAACAGAGCTCGACTTGAGACGTTTCAGTCTCAATCTAGTAACTTTTCCAAAGAAGTGAAGAAAACATCAGTGGTCAGATTAAGTTAAAATTATGAACTGAACTGTTAATACAGGGACATTTATTTTTCCACTTCTTGATTTCTGCTGTTTTTTCTTCCTCTCTTTTATTTTTCATCACAAAGCTCAACAAAGCAGACAACAAACTTTGCCTCACTGTCAAAATGAATGGCTGCTGGTTAATACTAAGATTATAAGTGGCCAAATCAAGAATAATACCAACAGCAAGACAAACATTCAACTTGGTGGCCAGTGAAAGTTTATGTTATGTTACAATGTTTCATGTGATGAAACAAAACAAGCTGCGTGAAGATGGAACCTTTGACATTTTATAGACAAAACAATAATAACAATTATTATTATAGACAAATCATTTTGTTGCGAGCTGAAATGTTAAGAGCGATCTGTTCTCCTCAGACCAGGAGCAGAGTCCGCCTGTGAGGGAGGTGCTGTCAGGCCTGCAGATGGACCTCCTGCTGCCTTACTCTCAGCTCCTGCTGTCATCCCGAGGCGAGCTCCCTGACTGCTGCCTCGCCTTCGGGCTCCAGTCTGGTCCGACCCGCTGGTACATCTTCTCCGAGGCAGAGGAGCTCCGGCAGACCAGGGCTGAGCTGACGGCGCTGATCCAGGTCAGAGAGCAGCACAAGATCCAACTCACTGAACGGGTCATTTCACACAGTTCGGTCAAACCGAGCTTTAACGTATAGATACCATATAGAAACATATAAGAGTGTACATTGTGAAAATGATGAAAGAAGAATGACATGCATGAACACCAATCAGCACACAGGTATCACATGCAGACATTCGTGAAGCATAAATCGAGCTGCAGTCTGACACTGTGTGAGCACCTGGAAAACAACAACCTTGTCCCTTGTTTTTCCAGGCAACAGATTCTCACACCGACCCCGAGGCCTCAGACACTCCTCAGCTCCTCCCCCGTTCACTCATCAACTCCTGGGAGCTGGAGGAGAGCCAGGGGGCCCAGGGAGGCTACCCTGCCCACCTCCTCCCCTCCTTCTCCTCCTCCTCCTCCTCCTCTTCCTCTGCCCCAGACACCCACCCTCTCCTGTTAGACATCTTATCCCAGAAAGAAGAACCCCGCCTCCCTCCTCTCCTCTTCCTCACCCACCGACACCTCTGGGTGCTGAAGATGGACTTCAGAGAGCTGGCTGAAAGAGAGAGGAGCAACGCTGACCTTCATCTCACCTCCTCCTCCTGGTGCAGGCTGGTCCGCGTGCCCCTCGGCTCCGTGGTGCTTCACCCTAGAGAGAGAGCTCCTCAGGTCGGGGACAGATCCAGTCACACCTCCTGCCCTGGAGCAAATCACCACCACAGGTACAGAGGCTGTGACTGGACGAATGCATGATCGAAGTACTTGCCTCTCTGCAGGAAACTTTCAGGGCAAATAAAGGAAAACAGTATCAAGTGTCTGTGTCGGGTTTGGTAAATTGATAAATAGTATGATATTACATATATTTTGTATCTTATTTTTAGTTTGGATTCTGTTCATATTTTTTTTTTACCCCTGAAAGAAAAAGAGAAATTTAAATTCCCAGAATAAATTCTCATAATTTAATTTTTAATGTTATTTAACTGACATAAGTGAATTATCAGGCATTGGTCGAATCAGGAGATCAGATCATTATATTTAATTTCATAATTCGTTTGTCTCCTGCTTCAATATTTACAGTTTTTATTTGTTTCAGTTACTGCTAACTTTAATGTAAATAATAAAATAAACCTAAAATCAGCATCATTAACATGCAGATGTATCATCAAATTTATCATTTTATTGATTGATAGAAATCTTAAATTACTAATATTAATTCAATGTCTTTATAAAACAGAACAGTAAAATTGATCATCACACATTGTTTGTTCTCTACTTTACTTTCCCTACTTTTGAATATTGTCATTATCTGTATTTTTACATGTTGTGTCCAGGAGGAGTCACGCCGTGGAGCTGCTGCTGGGAAATCAGAGGCTGCTGCTGCTCTTCCCTCTGGCCCAGGACAGGAGCTGCTTTTTGGTGGAGCTGAGCCAACGGAGAGCGTCCCTGGAGGGGCTGAAGATGTTGGTCCTGCCCAAACCCTGCAGGCCCTGTCCACACCAAGGAGAACATACACAAGGTGAAGACCAACCACCTGCTCATACCCTCAGATCTCATCAGCCTTTCTTTCATTTGATTGTGTCATTTAGTTTGACCCCTTCTGGTTTCTTCTCCCAGTGTTACGACCTTGTCTGACACCTCCTCCTTGTTGTTGTGTTCTCAGAGCGTTGCAGATCCAGAGACCAGTGCTGTTGTACCAGTACCAGGAAAGCACACAACTCCAGCAGGTAGACTTCTGAAGCACGTCTGTGTAGTTCAGCGTAGATTACTTTTTTACATTCTTCATGTGAGCAACGTGCTAATGTCAAACTTATTTTTTGATCAAGGCTTTACAATGTCCAGCTCACAAAATGTCAAGGTCACAATTCTTTGAAAAATCAATTCAAGGGATCCTTTTCAAAAATGTGTATCTCTTTAAGTTTTTAAACTCTCAAATAACAATATCTGTATCCGCCAGTCCGCCATCATTAGATTATATTTCATAACCTTTTTTTCACTTTATACCAGGCATGAGTTGCTCCTTTGTTTCCATTACATGTTGCATTGTGGGTCACATTCGCTCCCTGAATGGACACATCCCAGCTGTGTGAATGCCGTGTCACAACCGTAATTTCCACGTATCTCAGCCTTCCATTGTGAGAATAATTAATCGAGTAGAAATACACAGCCTCATCTCAGACGACGCTGATTAGATTTTGGTGAAATGTAAGCACATGATCCAATTTGTTTTTCTCAAAAATCGTGCTGATTGGCCTCAGGGGGGCACTACAGGGTCTTCATCATCAGTCAACAAACATCAGGGAGCACAGCATGTCATCTTCTTCTCACTGTGGAATTGTAACTGTTGTTTCTTATATTTACCTCATATTTTCTTCACTTCTCCTTCCTCCTCCTTCCTTCTCCCCCTCAGCTGGGACTCTTCCCGTCTCCAGTTGGAAGAGAACCAGCCGTCCCCCCACCTAACCCCGGGTCTCTCCCCAGGACTGAAGCTCCTGGCTGGGTTCGGAGGACAGCAGCTGTTGGCCTTCTTCCACAGATACATAGCGCTGGTAGGACACACACACACACACACACACACACACACACACACACACACAGTTATGTGCCTGTGCTCTCTGTGTGTCTCTGTATTATCAAATGCTGCATTTCATTTAAGTGCAAAATCACCTGCCGACTGTTTTCCAAAGTAAACCAGAGCTGGTAAAGGTTTTAATTTTAGTGGGGCTGCAACTAACAATTAATTTACCGATTATTTTCTTAAATTTTTCATTTTTTTGTTTTCTTGAATGTCAGCAAATAGCAAAATGTGTCAGTCAGAAATTTATCTTAAAATGTCAGAGTCCAAACCCAAAGAGTCCGTTTGCTTTTTATAGAGACAGAAAACCAGCAAAGAAAAAGCTGGAGCCAGAGCTTTTTAATAACTTAAAACTTTAATTGATCGTCAAGATAGTTGGCAATTAAATTTCTCTCAGTTGATAACAGTAACATGCTCACCGCCCTTGATTTCTTGAGAGAGAAATTGTCAGTCAGATGAGTGAAGTCAGGTTTTCTCAGTTGATTTTGGACCCAGTTGTTCATCTGTCCATCTTCTCTACATCTTTTAACGTTGCAGTTCTTGTGCTGTCTTTTTAAAAATTCCAGTTTAACTTTTTTCTTTCTTTTTTTTTTTTTTACTGTTATGTGCCACTTATATCAGTCTGAGGCGGAGGAGGTGAGACAGGTCTTGTGGCTGTCTGTGGTTCTCTACAAGTCTCCGGAGGCTGAGCTCACCTGCTGTCTGCTGCTCTCCACTGATACAATCTACTTCTTGCTGGAGGACTCCGCCTCCACACTCGGCCATCACACAGGTAGGAGGAACAGACATGATTGGCTCAGTCACAGTGAGAAAAGATTGCACTTCAAATTTTATAAAGTCATGGGAGTCGCTGCTACTGTACGACTTCTGCTGCTGCTACAGTTTTACTTTTGATTTACATTATCACATGACATTGTTGTTATTTTTCACAGTGGACATGAAGTGTAATGTTAAGCTAGTGGACACATAAAATCTAAAATGGTACAGATCATAGAACAGCAGTGTTTGTCTTTATTTAGCTGTTTGTTTCCCTGTCATGTAGTGAACATCACAGCCTCAGAGGATCATGAGGGTGTCTGTAGGCTTTCAGTTTTGTTAAATCTCTCCTTCCTTTTATCGCTCTCCCTCTGTCTGTCTCTGTCTGTCAGTGTTGGAGATAACAGACTCTGGAGATCCAGATGTCTGTCAGTGCTACTGTCTCTCCATCAGACTGTCTGAGCTTCTGTCTGTCAACGTGGGACTGTTCGACCAGTACTTCAGGGTCGTAGGTCAGTGGATTCACACACACGTTGTCTGTGTCTGCAGAGGTCATACAAGTTCTAAATATTGAACTGCTGCTTAATGTTGATATTACTCTGTGTCACCTCGTTGTCTCTCCATGGATCCTCTCTCTGCAGGGCGTTCGGCCGACCACATCGTGTGCTGTCTCAGCAGGGACAGTTATGGGACGGGCGTCTTTCTTCAGGAGCTGATGTCAGCTCTCAGTCTGCAGCAGCAGCTTCCTCCTCCAGAGCCGTCAGATCAGGACTTCTACTCCCAGTTCACCAACACAAACACAGGTAACCGTACTGGTACACTGTCAATCAGACAAAATGTAATATCTTTCTTCACATCAAATCCAACCTTAAAGTCCCTTCCTCTCAAAAGTGCCTCTTGCCTGTTGTTACGTCCCTGTGCAGAATGATTATATTGTTTATATAGTTTGACACTACAAAGATGTTTTTCCATTCATCTGATGGATACTACTACTGTGTTTAATAAATAATAAAGATACTTGTCTTTGTCCTGAACTTTGGATTTGTTCTTCTCCCTGATTACATCTGTGCACAGTTAGAACAAATTGTCTGATTTATCAGGTGACAGATGTGAATTTGTCTCCTCCTGCAGGTAAGATGCAGAACTACGAGCTGGTCCACAGCAGCAGGGTGAAGTTTATTTATCCCAGTGAGGAGGAGATGGGAGACCTGACCTTCATCGTGGCAGAGAGGAAGACTCCGGCCAGCGCAGCGTCTTCGTCATCACGCTCCTTTAATGTCCTGCTGTACCTGCTGGTTTTCCAGGTCCGAATTTCTTTCTCTGTAATTTGGGATTGTAGGGGAGTTAATATGCTGGAGCTATTTCTAGACAAACAACAGTCCGTCTGCACAGTACTGCTGTTTAGTGTCTGCGGCTACAGCTCAGGTTGTTAGAAGTATCTTTAATTGATTGAATTTGTGTGTAGTGATGATTTCTTGTTCTTTTCTTGCTTTTTTGTTTCCACTGGGGCTGCAGGAAATTAAAAAATGATGATGTAATTTTTGTTGGTTCCTTTACATCTGTAGTTCCACAACACTTATGGTGCTGACAATGCCCTCCTGCAGCTCCTGCGATTTGGATATTGCACTTGACCATATTGTGATTTTGATTATATTTCCATTAATTGGGCATCCCTAATTTCCACGCTTGGAATTTGCATTTTTTTTTGGTTTGTTGTTTTAAACTCATGTGTAAAACAATAATTATTCTCTCTTCCTGCCTTTTGTTCCTTTCCTCCAGGTCCAGATCCCGAGCCAAGGCTCTGCCCTCTCAGGCCCCTCCTCCTCCACTTCAGCCTCAGCCCCGTCTCCTGTGCTCCAGCCCAGGACCCTGATCCTGACCAGCACCGATGTGTTCCTACTGGACGAGGACTACATCAGCTATCCTCTGCCCGACTTTGCCAAAGAACCTCCCTCCAGGTGAGCACACATAAACCCCTGCCCCCCCGACACCACCATACTTTTACCAAGCCAGATGAGTCAGTTAGAAGCAGAACTGGTCCCAGGCCGACAAACAGTAAACATTAATCTTAATCAACATGATGACTCCCCTCAATGTAGCAGAGCTATAATTCGGCAGCAAGTTAAAAAAACAAAACAAAAACAAACTGTTCCCTCGTGTTCCTGCTCGTCTGCTCCAGTGGATTTAACAGACTGCTGTTTTAAAAACTGTTCATTTCTCATTATTAGTCTGACATTGTGTTTGTCTTAGTTGCTTTCTGTTTTGTGAAGGTGGGTTATTCTTGCCCTGACCAATCAACAGTGATTGACATGTATCTCCTATTTACATAATTTTGTTTATAGGAGTTATAGGAGTTTAGTTTATAGGAGCATTTGTGTTGCAGATCAAAAACCAAACTGCAAACATCTCATCTCCAGTAGTCGCCATTTTTGCAACCATTTCCTGGCTGTGGCACAGGACAATGACATTCTTTATCCTACCAACAAAGCTCTGATTTGCTCTGTTGTTTTACCAACTGGGGAAACAGCCGTTCGTGAGCAATAAAACCAGATCTATTTGAATCACTGACCACATGAGATGTTGGCAGCGATTTACAGGTGTAGTGCTGTTGTATATTAGTCATTATGAATCACAGTAAGAAAATATGACCCAGTTTTAAACTTGTCTCTGTTTATCTCCCTCATAAACAAAACATTGTAAATCTTAAATGCAGTTTTTAATGAACAGCAGCACTTCAAAGATCCACCTGAGAGAAAAGCTGCTGAAACAGAAGCAGCAAACAGTTTTATCAGCCCAGAGGCAGGCAGAGCTCATCTGCTGCATCACTCTCTCGTACTTGCCTTATGGTGGAGATCATTAACTGAAACCGCTGGTGTGTGTTTGTTTCTGTTGCTCTGCAGTTTCCTGACTCACAATGTTATTCATGAAGAAACTGTTCCAGTGTTTCAGAGCACATTCCAAAAATAACTGGAAACGGATTGAGCTTCATACAGCTGATACAGATCCAGTCAGTAAAGGGGCTATTTGTTTTTGCTGCTGGGAGCAGGTGGTGGTGGTGATTGTTGCTTGACAAGAGCTTCAGCCATTGTTGTGTTTATAAGACAAGAGGTCATAACACGCTCTGTGAACAGCGCTACATTAAGTCTCTATTAGAAAGTGACAAGTCGGACCGAGGCTAGCTGGTTAGCGTGCTAATTTCAGTAGAACAATGGTGTTGCTTTCCACTGCCGGAGACAGCTCTTGGTTAGTAAAGGAACGAAATTTGATGCTGAACTCACAACTGGGAGGTAAACAGTTGGTAATGCTAATGCTCGCTATGTAGCAATAGTAAAACTTACAAATACCTCCTTTAATCCAAATGATAGGCAGACATTTGAGATGAAAATCAAACTAGGCTTTTGAGGTGATATCTCGCATGAACAGCAGTACACAGAAATCCTGTAAAATGCAGGAAATCTATATGAATGAATAAGGAAGTTACTTTCTATACACCACAACTCTACACTAACTACAAGTTTAGAGCCTGATCAAGCAGGTGCAGAATGATTTGCTCCCTCTACCAGCTGCAGAAAATGTCTAAATTTCTTTTATTAGGCTGCTTTTATTGATTGCCAAGAAAATCTAATTGCAGATGAACAAACTATTGGTTTGCTTTTAGTTTTTATCCCAGGCTTTCTGTCTGGAAACTGGGAAATGTTATGGATTTCCATAGAACATCTGATAACACGTTAAATGTCTTTGGGAACATGTTGAGAGTCTCTGACACATTAAATGTGATTAATAAGCCATTTTCCTCAAAGAAATGTAGGATTCTTGTGTGTGAGACTGAAGTGACGTCTTTCAGGTTATCATGATGGTCATTAACAGTGTGGTAGCAGTCATTCTCATCATCGTTTTTCTCGTCATCTTTGCCATCATGTCCTGCAGGGAGCGGTACCAGCTGCGTGAAGCTCGGAGGATCCGGGACCTGGACCGGGTCCTGTTGGGCTATCAGACGTACCCTCAGGCTCTTACTCTGGTGTTCGATGACCTGCCCGGCCCTGACCTGCTCTGTCACCTCACCATGGACCACTTCGCCGCCGGAGGGGAGGAAGTCCTGCCCAGAGGCGGTGGAGCCAGCGGGGGCGCAGAGGGTGAGGTCCAGTGGTGTGTCTTCGTCCCGGGAGCTGACAGCAGAGAGAGGTTGATCTCACTCCTCGCTCGCCAGTGGGAGGCGCTGTGCAGCCGGGAGCTTCCTGTGGAACTCACCGGCTGATTGGTCGACAGGGAATGATGGAGAGACGGGTGACTTTTCAGCCCCTTGTTGGTTGGTGGGAGCTGACTGGCGGGTGGAGTCATCATTTGACTGGGATAATTTACACATGGATTCAGAGCTTGATTAGTTTAAAGGCTTCAGTATGCTTCAAACAAGGTTTCTGTTCGGCACCCTCACTTAATAAGATCTTCACTTCAAGCGTGAACTAGTTTATACAACTTTTTGTCCAACCGCCTCTGTCTGTTTTGAACGTCGACACATGAAGTCGAGGTGTCTTTAGGCTCAGCATCATGAATCATTCAAACGGAGATAACGTCACTCTTTTTCAGACAGTCTCTCCACAAAGACATTCATAGTGACAGAAGTTACAACCTCACCTACTGTCCACACACCTGGACAGTCACTGCGTAACGTGGGTGCAATAGTGAATTGGTTAAAGTTATAAAAATGTGTCTTGATGTAGTGGGAAGTAGTTTCAGATGCTGTTGGACGATCCAACAAGCACTTTGTCTGAAGCATACCGACACCTTTCAGCTTACTTCTTAAAGCTCGGAGGGGACGTGGCTCTGCTCACACGCTGTTTGGTTAGCAGGACCCAGTGGACACCAGACTGCCATTACAGACAGTCGGAGGGACCTGTGACCTCACAAGAAACTGAAATAATGGGATTTCTTGGCACAACCTCACCTCGCAAAGTGTTGCAGATTTACTTATTCATTGGTTGCCCCGATTGACTGACTGACAGACTGACCGACAGACAGACAGACAGACAGACAGACAGACAGACAGACAGACAGGTGTTGCACAGCAGGGGGAGCTGCAGACAGTCCACAGGAGTTTCTACTTGATTTTATTCATCATTACCTTAAATGAACAGTTTGTCATTTCTGGTAAATCCTCTTGTTCTCTGTCTTGTGTGTGTTTAGCCTAGCTTAGCACAAAGACTGGAAGCAGGACAGAAAACTGCAAGCCTGGCTCCCTCACAAGTGTAAAAAAAATGTTTGAGTTAACATGTTGTTATTTATGTAAAGTTGATCTTAAAACCAAAACTCACTTTAACATATTTTCATTTGTACATGTTCCGTCTGAATCCAGGTAAGGAGACAAGAGGATTTCCCAAAATGTTGGACTGTTATTTTAAGACGCACGCACATACGCACACACGCACACACACACTGCTGCTCAGCACAATCTGCTTTCTGAACATTTTATTCCTTGCACATTGTAATTGAAGCAGTATTACTGAACTGTATACTAAAGCTTTTTATTAATATTATGTGAATATAATTGTTGCTTTGGGACAGACATGTTTTCCATCCTGAAGATGATTTTGTACTAAACATGAAGGACCCGATGATATTTACAACATGAACTCTGAAATGACATATTTAGTATTATCATTGAGTATTATTTTTTATATTTTCTTTGTGTTTTGTTTGTCATGATCTTCATACATTACTGTTGACAAATGGGAAGCCAGCCACTGTTGGACCTCCCCACTCTTCACCAGTGTTGTTTACGTTACATGTTGTTGTCTTGTTAAAGGGGAACGCCACTGAATTAAAGTAAAAATGAAATCTCCCCATGTAACAATAATTCCTGTTTGGTTAAGCGACAGTGGTTTGGATCTTCGAAAATCAGCAGGATTCAACCGCAGACGGCGCACTGTTCAGCTGATGCAGCGGTTAAGCTAGAAAACCAGTCTGACTGTGGGGCCAGCAAAATGTGAGTCATTTCAACTTAAGCTGACACTATGATGGACACAGTCGCTGAGAAAGTCTGTCTGAACAGGTGTTATTAAGTCCACAAATCTTGGTGTCTTAAAACAAGTGAAAAAAATCTGCCATTGGTGTGAGATTCAACTCAGAATACAAATGAAGGTTCAAAATTTTTATTTCTTTTTTATAGGGGTGCAGTGACTTTTAATAATAAATTATTATTAAATTGATCGGCATTATTCTGCAATAATTACCTTCATGATAAATTCTCAGAGTTGAAAAATCCTGTTTTGGTGTCTGATAAGCTTTAGACTGAAAACAGCCCTGCATTAAAACAGCATGAGGCTCTGTGTTGGTGTGCCAGTGTTGCTTCAGGTGCTGCCGAAAGGCAACTTGGTGAGGGGTTACTGATAGAAATAATAGACAAAACTACCAAAATAAGACCTGAGCTGTAATAAAGCAGAATTATTCTTAAAAGACCTCGAGGAACAATGTGACTCAGAGAACGACACCGCACATTGAATCACCAGTTTAAAATGACTCAGACCTGAAGTCCTACATGAATGGACATTAATCCACTGAGGGTCCAGCACTCATCAGCTGAGGTGGCTTGTAAACAGCTTGTACTCTTGAATTAAGAAAGAATTTCACTATCGTATCTGATTGAAAGATTTCAAGTTTACACTCGGTGATGACGGCTACAAGGAATGGAGAAAGCCGCTTTTTATTTCTTCTGGTATATTATTCCAGCCTGGTCTTGAAACTACTTTGTCTCCTGAGGAGGAGAAGATCTCCTCTGGTGGATGCTCTGCTTCAGTGAAGAAATGTGTTGTAATGAAAGAGCAGAGGAGATGAAGAGGAGCCATATTGTTTGCCATATTTTAATGATCTGCTGTATTTGATCATGTTTTCCCAGTTTAAACGATTCTACTTCTTTAGGATATTACATTGGTGATACTCTTGAGGCTTCTTATCTAAGATATTTAGTGTTTGCATAATAATCCAATGGGTTTTAGTGTGCTATTATTAGCTTGTCCCCAGGTTGTTAAGCAGTATCTAATGTGTGAGAAAATTTTACCTGCACCAGTGGACATGCTTTTTCATGTAAATCTGAAGTTACATGTTTGTTCCCCAAATGAGCCACCACAGCACTTTCGAGTTGATGCAGATTGCTTACATATTTTGCGGCAACGGCATAAACCTTGTGAAGCAGAACCTTTTGTCTCCTGCAGGGCCTTAGCTACCATTGAGGACATGTACTTCAAATGTTTTCCTTGCGGCATTTTACATTTTTTGGCTGAATTCAGTATTTAAAGACTTCATCTCGCTGCTTGACTGCTTTTAGGTCAACAAAATAAAGGATTTAGAGTTTATATGTGGACCGCTAACTAAATTAAAAAGTATACAAAAGATTTAGACAATTGAAAACTTTAGAAAATTTTTGAGTGGAGGTTGCTGGGGATTTCGATTTTTAAACTCCTATAGCTTCAGCCCTGTTGAGAACCATCTGTCTTTCAGAAGACACAAAAAACATCTTAAAAACACGAAAAGAAAGAATTCACCAAAAGTTCTCGTCAGCAGTTCATCGCTCTACCCGCTCAGTGAGGTTTTGATGACTTGGCGATTCAGCAACACGAAATGCAATGCCACCTTTCAACTCATTCAACTTCCTCTATTTCCTGTCTGTCGGAGCTGCTCGTTATGAAGTTCGACTGATTTCCTTTTTGGGGACACTTAACAGGCCCAAGAGCAGAGATACTGTACCAGGAAATGTTTGATCAGCAAAACTGGCTATTTGACCTCTGATTGGCGTTCAGTGGGTTCCAGTAGGTCACCTGTCCAATGGGAGAGAATTTGAATGAAGCTACAGTTTTCATGTAAAGAAAAAAAACTGAACCGTTATCACACGGAGAGGTTGGATCCAAACAGGATTTCTGTTTGGAGCAAAGTGACATTGTGCCAAGGCGACATGACAATGCATTTTCAAGAACAAACAGGTCTAACAGGCAGACTGGGAACTACTCTGGAGGACAATGTTTGTTCGGCAAAGGATGTAGTGTTTTTGTCTCATTAGTTTGTTAGCAGCATATCCATTTAACTTCTCAACATATTTTAATTGAATTTGGCTGAAATTCGTCTGTTAGCACAATTCATAGATTGTTTGAATAACTGATTCCATATAATGAGGAATTTTTTGAAGCTTTTCTAAGCTTTACAAGTTGGATTGTTGCTGATCATCATCGTTAGTCTCATATTCAGATGCAGATTAAAAAAAAGTTTAAAATTTTCTGTTACTAAAATAACAAATTTAGTGGATTGCACTTTAGTGGATTTCTAGTATGAAATGCAAAACCTGGGCCTCCATATAAAGTTACTGGAGCAACTAGAGGAAACCACAGGATGTCAGAAAGATTGTACCCAATCTGAAAATGACCTGTGACTCGTCTGGTTCAGGTTATCTGAAATGGTCCAATTTAACAGTTTTATATGCGGCCCTGTATGTGCACTACTGCACACCGCTTGCGGAGTTATTTTGTTCTCTCTCTCGCTCTCTCACCTCTACCTGTTTTCTCCCGTAAGAGGGGAGCAACTGAATGCAATTAATGACTTGATAGGAGAGAAAAGGAGCGACCCGAGGAGGCAGCCCTTGCACACTGCTTGGGGTGGACTACTCTCCCCAGATTGCCCTTTGTTTCCCAGTACGGTCCAGACTGTTGGGTTTTTGTTGTTGTAGTTTATTATTTTGGTTTTGGGTTGGAAATCACTGGTAGTCCAGTTATCAGATTTTGTTTTGGTATAGTCTAGTTCAATTGTCTTTAGGAAGTTTAAGGAGGAGTACCGAGGTGTGAGAGCCCATGGCGTAGCTGATGCAGCAGCCTCCCCATCCTCTGTTCTTTTAAACTGAGATCTTTAGCTTTTGGGTATATCGGGTCAGGTTTGCAAATGTTTCAGTTTAGCAGCAAACGGTTTTGTTCAGGTTAGTTAACTTTCCAGTGTAACAACATTTTTTTTTTTTTTAATGAAGTTAGCTAACAGGGTGATTTACCGGGGTTTAACTGCTCAGTTTACTAGCTAAAACTGTTTGCGTTTAACAACTATAACAGGCACAGATTAGCTAATGGCCCCGTTCAGCAGAAAAGGTTAGTTTATATTCCAGTTTATCAGCACGAACCTTAGTCTGGGTTAGTTCACGGTCCAGTTCAGTTTAGCAGTTTAAACTGTTTGGTTTAGTGCAGTTAAGTTTAGCAGCAAATCTTATTAGCTAACAGTTGTCTGTCAGACTGGCAGTGACGGGTTCAGGCCAGTAAACAGTTCAGCTAATAGCAGGAACCTTTGTTCAGGTTAGTTGGTCCAGTTTAGCAGCAGATTTTTAATTCAGCTTGTCTAGTTTGTTTTAGCAGCTTTAACAGTTTGGTTCATGTTCGATAACAGTTCAGTTTTACAGGTACAACAGTTGACTTTAGCAGCAGATAATTGGTTCAGGTTAGCTAACAGCAAACGGATTCAGGTTAGCTAACAGCTAACACTGACAGGTGTAACAGTTTGGCTCGTGTTAACTAACAGTTAATTTTAGCTAAAACTGTTCGGTTCTACTCAGTTTTACAGTTAAATTTTACAGCTGTAACTTCGGTTCAGATTAGCTGACAGTTCAGTTTAGCATCAAAAACACAGGTGTGGTTCAATCGATGAAGACCTTGAGTTTCTACTTCCCAGGAACCTGGCTCGTGGAGTTTAGGGTAAGTCGTCTTTATTTTGTACATGATTTAAGTGAGATTAATTAATTCACTGTTAGTTCCATTGCACATTTTTCAGCCTGGTAGGTCAACCCATAGCTGGAGAACCACTGCCAACATAGTGAAGGTGAAAATTCAAATTCATGATACCTGAGTTAATCTGGATATTCTGTTGAGTTCAGTTTAAGTGTCCTTTCATAAACAGCTGCAGCAGAAAGACACCAGGGAACACCAAAGGGATGTGACACTGATAGTAAATCCTTTCTCACTTCCTCTTATCTTTCATGGTCTTTCTCGTCTGCTCGGCTGTTTTCCGGCCCAGAGTGCTGATTGAAGGTATTTGTTGAGGTTGAGACGGTCACAGAGACATGGGCCGAGAGATACCCATGACCTCTGGCTCAGGCCCCTGTTTCTCTCTCTTTACTCCTTGTTTAATGTTTTTCTCACTTTTTAAGGAGTCAGCAGTGTGTGTGTGTGTCTGTGTGTGTTTGTCGGTGTCATTATGCAACACTCAAAGATTATGATTATCATATTGTCCTTCACACAGTGTTTTAATTCCTTAGGTTCATTTGACGTGGACTTAATCAGACAATGTCAAGGCAACACAGAGATGTGACCTCATCACACCACAAGACCAAACTACATCTAAATCATACGCAATATCAGATAGTCAGCAGCACGCAATTTTGTCACACTATTGTCTAAACATAAACATATAAGTGATATAATTTTGTGAGGAAGAAACTTCTTTGGTCTCTTGTCCTGTAACGTGTTCGTGTCTGTGGTAGTTTCTGGCAGCACTGAATTAAGCCTTGTGCTGTCCAATAGTAATCTGTCTTTGTCAGTCTGTGTTCTCTGTGTAATGGCAGAGCAAACGTTTTTGAAAAGGTTTTTCCATTGTCAACCAGTTTGCATCCAACTTGATAACCCAGCACCAGTAACCCAGTACATGTAATTGTTACTCTGAAGCTTTGAGCCAACAAATTTAAGACTTGATGTTGAAGTTTCTATTTTAATAAAGCTTAAAACAGATATCTGTTAAGGCTTGACAAAACAGTTCAAAAGTTGAAGATAAAAAAGATAAAAATCTACTGCTGGAGAGCCAGTGAGCAAGGCAGTAAACTTCTATAGTGGTTTACTGTCAGCGCCTGAGTTTCAGCCTGCTTCCTGCTATTGTTCTGTCGGTATGCAGTTTGACCTTTGACCCTCTCTCTGGTCTGGCTCACCTCGCTGGGCCTGTCATCTGTTCGTCGAGTCAAACTAAATTAAAACAGGAAAGGAACTCAGATTTCACATTTGTTCCTTTTCATTCTTAGAAGCAAACGAGCAGTTGTGTCAGCTGACGAGGAAATCCGTCCAAATCACACCGCCCCACTGGGACGTCCAGGAGGGGAATTCCGCCCAAAACTTCCTGTAAGGAAGAAAGAAGATTTCTCACAATCACTCTTTCTCTCGTTTTGGACCGACCTTATAATAAGGGGCCAGAATATTATAATATTACCTGCTAGTCAATTATTTAGCAGTCGTAGCAGTGATTAAAGAGTTTTCTTTTTCCGTCAATACAGCTATTTTATTTGCATCATGTCTCGAAGGCTTTATTTCACACAGCAACAGTAACAACTCCTGACCGAACTCTCTGCTACAGCTCATCTACAAAAACATAAGGCAAAGATCAAAAGTGAGAATCCTCAGGAGAATAAATTCAGAGAGAAATTTCCCGTCATCAGACTTTCTGGTGAGCAGTAGGCGACCTGTGAGTGAGAAAAGGTAAATTACCAAAGATGAACAGAAAATGTGGTAAAATTATCACATGCAATAACTAAGCAATGTTTTCTTTAATCCAGGGTTATAATAATAAAGAGAAGTAATATATCTAGAGCTGAAACCATTCGTAAATATAAAAAAATGAATCTGTTATAATAATTGATTAATTGTTTAATTGATTTATTTTATTTTATTTTTTAAGATTTGCTGCTTTTTTTTGTTTTGTTTACATAATTAATAAAATTTGGGTTTCCTCCACTATTAATTGGACAAAACAAGATATTTAGAGATATAGACTCAGGTTTTAGGAAATTCCAAAACCAAACAAAATGAAAACATGAATCAATCAATCTTGACATAATTGGCAGATCAATCGATAAATAAAAATCCAATAAAATCTAGAACAAGCCCAAGAAACAAATCCAGTGAGCAGTTTATATCTGACAAAAATGTACTAATCTTTATTTGAAGAGTAGTTCTGAAAACAGCTTTAAAGTGATAAACCAGAGTGATTAAAACCAAAGGTCGGTGTGTTTTCTGTGACTGTTGTTCCTCTGGCTGCTCCAGGTTCATACTGTATTTCTAACTGAACACTGTGCAGTGTCCTTTTGTGTCATCTTTGGTGTTGTTTGAAACTTTGTCATCGTGCTACAAAATAAACTACTGTTTACCGTAACTACTCTTGCAAAGGTGGGAGGTAACTGGGTCGTCATCAGTTTGAGACAAAGGATTAGTGTTTAAGGTGGTGAACTGTGTAATGTAGTACAACACTACAATCTACTACACTGCCTTAGTTATTTAAAACTGACATTTTATTTATTAGTTACAAATTACTTTGTATGTTATACAACAACTTTGTCCTCCCTTGTTCACATACAGGAGCGGATCAGAATATTAGAAACGCCTCTGAATATAATGTAGTCTAGTAAAACACCATCACTCCCAATGACGTCAGCGCTGAAGCGTACAGTATAAATGATTGAACACCTCCATGACTGTCAATAAAATGCACATTATTGGCATCATAACAGTAAAGTTTATAGATTATAAATATATTGGATTTGTGCAGGTGTAACTAATAAAGCTCACTGAATGTATGTAGATATATGTATGACTCATAAATGATATACACAAATATATGAAAACATATGCAGCAGTGTAAGAAATGTGTGCGTGCGTGCGTGCGTGTGTGTGTGTGTGTGTGGTTAGGCCATCTATTGTGTGGTCTTGGTGAGTGGTTCCCAACCGATGAGCCTTTATAACCATGTCATCCCTTCTCACAGGTCAGGTATATCTATGATCTTCAACCTGAAGGACGTTCTCCTCTCTGATTGTTTCATTCGAATGATTTTTAAAGTCCTTAAGATTCATTCAGCGATTTCACAGGCAGAAAGCAAAAGATTTCATCAAAAGTCAGAAAAATAACCAATATTACATGCATCTGTAATGTTTTTTTTTTAAATCCTATTTCCTTACTTTGCTGATTATCTTGTGAGCCCTTCGTGGGTCCTGGCTCCCAGGTTGGGGGCCAGTGGTCTACAGGTGCTGTAGTCCATGTAGAGAGTTCAGAGCTCTGGAAGGTGGCGATGGACAGGGAGTAGTGACTTTGTTTTTGATAAGTTAATATACTTCTGCTGCAACTGTATACTGCTGCTAACATTGCTATTGTGACTGAAATATGCTACTGTTACAGCTGCTAGCTCCCCCTTATCAGTACTATAACCGTTACTACAAGTGCTGTTGTGTTACTACAAGGGGAGCAGTAGGAGGAGATGACCTCTGCTGGGAGGTTCCAGGAGCTGCCATTTTCTGTTGTTTTTTTTGTTTTTTTTCTTTCTTTTTTCTAGATTAGAGAGGAAAAGACATGACGCCAGCAGTCGCTCCAGCCTCTCTAGCTGCTCTCTGCCTTACCAGACACTAAGCTGAGAGTTATTGTTAGTTGTTATTTGTTTCTAAGGTCTCACATAACAGGGATTGTTGCCTTCAGACTGCAAATGAGTCAAGAACACTGCTGATAATAAGAGCGCTGCCTGGATCCACCCTGTATTTGTTATTTTTTATTTTTTTCACATTTTAAGTAGTTATCTTAGTTTTTCCGTGTAACAGCAGGTAACTTTGAGTTTTCTTACACTCATTACTGCTGGAATACGAGTCTATTGTTTTCTGATAGTTTTGTTGTCCTTCCACAGAGGATGTTGTTATATGTGTGTTTTTTCCTGTAGCTAATACAGCAGGTTGTGCTCGAGGTTCAGACTAGATATGAGAGGAGAAAACTAGGGTAAGATCTCACAACCTGGACACATTCTCTATTTTTTCTACTGATTTTTTTACTATTGACTGAGGAGGACGCTGGGTCGGTGGATATATATTTCCCCCCGGATGTGACACTTTTAGCCATGCTTCTGTTACTGCTGCTGCTCTGCGTGCAAACTTCATTGCAAGAGGTAACACACTTCCAACTCCATTACACTGAGATACTATATCACCTGTTTGTTCTCTTTAGATTTTTAAATTATAAGTAGATTGCTTGACTCTGTTAAATACAATTACACCACTCATTGTTTTCCTTCCAGAGCCTGAACTCATAGAGCATTTGTGTTCAACTGTACAGACCCTAATGCCACTTTTGGTCACTGAATGAATGAAAAATTATGGGTCATGTGGACTCTAGCTAGTGGACTTTAGCTTTTGCATTAGGTGAAAATTTAAGGGGTAAAGTGAAGGCCTGACATAATAATGGAATAATGGGAACTGCAGAGATTTATGAGGTTGCTTCCTGCATGTTGGGAGACTCACGTGAGACCCAGATCTTGACCAGATATCCTGACTTTTCGTCCCTAGAATGGATCAGACTCATTAGTAAGAGTCTCTGAGGCTGTAGTTAAGCACATATAACTGCAGCCGTATTTATCTTGCAATTTATGCTTAATTTAGTGTTTTGGCATACTAACATTTCCTAATTAGCACTAAACACAGAGTGCAACTAAGGATGACAGGAATGTAATTTTGCAGGTGTTCAGTGATGAATTTAAATTTCAACCCGATGATGGTCAGAAGATCGCCAGTTATTACAATTCATCCTGAGGGGAACACGACTGTGTGTTTGACCTGCTGGTGGTGCTCGAGGGAAAGCCAGGGGATCACCCATAGGGATCACCACAGTCATTATGGTCCATCCCCTGAGGGCCATGACTGTCTGTGCCAAATTTAATGGCAATCTTAGCTCGTCTCTGGTTTGCTTTCATTTATGTCTGCACATTGATTTTACGTGACATGACATCCTCTAAAATGTCACTGTATTTGTAAAGCACATCTGACCCTCAGTCCTTCATTGAGCAGCAGATTGCTGGTCAAACTGGAGATGGACAGGTGTTCCTCACCTGGACGAAACTGATATTCTTCAGTTGAGGACACGCAGCTTCCTCTGCCAAGTCCAATCCCCCATAAAACACATTTTAAAATGTGGCATTAAATTGACTCTGGGTCGACCAACTGGTGAAACTGTTTAGATTTTGTCAGCTGACATTGAGCTGGTTTGTTTTTGTCAGTCATTGTGAACGAAGTGATTTTGATTTGAGGTGTGAATCTTCCATTAAAAAGGATTCCCAGTAAAACCAGCTTGGCTGTTGTTGTAGAATCCCAGTCTGTCCATTATTCACTGTGTGTGGAGCTGATCCAGGAAATCATCACCACAGTGTCTCTTTGCTGCTCAGCTTTGTTTAAATTAGAGTTAATTATTTTGGTTGCTAGTAAGTTGATATTTTGATCAGTTACTTACAGATACATTTCCTGATTTTGTAACGTCACCCAATAGTGTCCCCAAATCTCAAATGTTCCTCACAGCACAGGGCTGATGTTTTGAAGTCACTCTGTGAAGTGTGTTGAGTCTCAGAGTCTCACCTGGGAGAAAATGCTTTGTCACTTCCTGCCCTATTTTCTGCGTATTTCTGTGAGTCAAATATAATCACCAACACAAAAAAAAACCTCATTCATAAAACCAGTGACCTCATTAGAGGCTCACACTGGGGCTTACTGAAATACAGAGTGTGAGGGTGAACAGTCGAATCAGTACAGGACCAGAGAGAGCCACTAAATGCCAACATGTTCGTGCATTTACGTCAAACGACAAATCTTAAAGCTCAGTGTTATCGTTCATTCTGACCTCGATTTTGAAGCTTGCATCAGAAATGTGACAAAATAATCACTCTGAAGAGATTCCCTCTGTTTCTCTCCAGGCTGATACAGAGGCACGAGTGCATGTTGTTTATCACCAGCAGACTTGATTATTCTGATGCTTTTCTTGTAGATAATAAAACAACCAAGTCCCTCCATTGGTTACATCATGGAGATTTTTAAACATGCTAGTGAAGTGTCTCTATGGTCGGTGGTGTTGGCCGGGGTCAGTCCAACACGTTGGTGCTATTGGCCACCGTTAGATGGATTGCCTTCACGGTGTGTTCAGATATTCATGGTACCACGGTGATGAATCTCAATGACAGTGATTCCTTGACGTTTCCTCTTGCACCATTTTGTGATTGATTTTACGTCAAATGTCTCAGCAACAGCTGGATGGATTGCCATGAAATATGATACACACATTTTATCCTCTTTAGGATGAAGTCGTCATTTGTGGTCCACTGATTTTTCACCTAACACAGTCATCAGGCCCAGCTGTTAATTTGTCCAATGTTTTGGTTTATGACAAAATAATAAAAACTAATATGATTTCCATCAGCCTCAGATGCAGAGGCTCAGATGAACTGCATGTTAGCTTACTGACATTAGCACTTATCTCAAAGCACAACTCTACCGCCTCTCAGAGATGCTCGCAGGTCTGCAGACTCTTAGTCTTGTAACACAGATGCAGGCAGCATGCCACACAAAACTAAACTACAACTTATTTTCATCAGTTTATCACTCTATAAAACCCTTTGAATTGTTTTGGGGTTTTTTTTTATTACATTTTGTTCGACAAATAACCTTGCTCTTCAACTACAGTACTGCTACTTTAAAACTCTTAATGTAGCTGAGGTCTTCTGACCTAAATCTGTTGGCAGCTCAGGCTGAAACTGGGGGGGGGGGGTTACATTGTGTTAAACAGCCTTCCTTATAACATCAGGAGAACCCCCACTACTGAAACTAACTGTGTTGTGTGTAGAGCTTAAATGTCTTTTATGTAATTTATTTAAGTATTTCCATTTTACACCGATTCATATTAATACTCCTCTACATTTCATAGGGAGATATTCTACATTTTACTTCACTATATTTGTTTTACAAATGAACTTACTAGTTACTATGCAGGTTAAAGTTTTACATGCAAAACGTATAATCAACAAATAAGATGTGATTCATTCTTATAAAATTGCCAAACAGTATACACAGTAGTTAAATATAGCTCCACCTCACCCAGCTGCAACATTAAAATACTGCTCACACAGAAATGCATCAATGATACAAATCCAATAATCAAAGACATGATAATAAAACACTTCTTTTATCAGTAATGTGACTTCACTACTACCGTTAGTTACTTTTCAAGGTCTCAGATTTTTCCTGAAAATATTTTTGAGTCCTTTTCACATGACAGATGAGTGTAGACTTCAGTTCAAGTATCATGTGCTTGCTTGCTGCTGTGCGGTCACACATCTCCTCTGTTCCCTCAGACTCCTCCTCCTGGTCGATGTGATATCTCACAGAGGATGGACGTGTACACCTCCTGCACTTCCTGTGCCGCCGCTGTCAGAAGCAGCTGTCCCCACACCTTCAGCAGAGTGGGCACCGCCAACTGCAGGTACATACCAGCCAGTATATGTATTATAGTTGGAAATAAATAAGTGGAGTTACTCAATTACTGTACTTTAACTTATTTTATTTAATACTTTTATTAAATGTATTGATTTTTAAAAAAATATTTTATTTATTTGTACTTTACTTGAGTGTTTCAATATCATGGTATTAAGCAGTCTCATTTTATTCCACCACATTTAACAACTGCAGTTACTGGTTACCTATCGGATTAAGATTTCCAACCTTTTGGCTTATGACCTTGGAAACAGTGTGTAGCTGAGGCCCCTCGTCACATTTCAGATGTCTACGAGTTGTTAGCAGTTCCACTAGAGACATTCCCACTCTAAACCTCTCACATGGTTTCACATTCTGCCCAAAGTTCAAAAAATACAATACAGATGTGTGTATAATAGTATTTGTTTCTCTTTTTGAAAGGGCCCCATGCTCAGGTTTGGACCCACCGGACTGAACTAGCTAACTGTATATAAAGTATTTAAACTAGCTCCACCTCTACGAGCTACAGCAGTAAAACTGTGGTTACATAATAATAATAATCTAATAATGTGTTGTATAATACAGTGTCAGTCAGTAAAGCATCTGTATTCTTCATCCACCGCTGCTACCAGGTTACATATCCACAGTTCATCAAAGCAGTGAATGCTTGTTTTCTCCTACACATACACACACACAGACCTGAACTCCATGACTGTGTCACAGATGTAGTAGTAGTGGTAGTATTATGTGGTGTGAATGAAGCAGCTTCTTCACCTCATGTTCCCTTGTGTGCTGCAGTTACGTGGTGCAGATCGGCGGCACAGAGATGGAGCTGGATGGATGTCAGCACATCTGTGTGAAGAGGTTCATGCAGCCACAGTGCTGCCCACAGCACTGGGGGCCGCTGTGTCTCTGTAAGACACGCACGCACACACGCACGCACGCACTCATGGTAGTTTATTTTGTCACATGAATGGTATAATTCTGCTGTTTACCTGGAGATCGTGGAGATGGGGAATGAAATGATCCCTGCTCATGATTTTATGAGCTTCTGTCGAGGAAGATTGAAGGTTTTCCTGTGATTTAAAATAATTTATAATATTTATATTATAAATAATTTTGCTTGAAGAATATATGTCTTTAAATTTAGTTCAAATTAATTATAACATTACTGCTGATAATAATTCGTACAATTACGTTTATTCTTATTTTCTGATGATATTCCTTAATTTTCTTAAGAATATTTGGTCATATTTGTAGGACAAAAACACTCCCTCTTAAAAAGCAGAACATGCAGATAGACGAACACACACATGCAAAACGTCCTGCGATCTCTTTCCTGGGAAACGGGACCATATTTTGACTGGGATCTCATCTCCCCGTATTCCACTCTACTGTGCCGTGTTTCGGTGTCTGATATAAGCCTTCACTCTCTATGAGTCAAACTGACCTGCCTGTGTGTATTTTATATTCTCACCTCTAATACACAATAACACAGCCCATCGGATTTCTTTTTTTACTCTAGTGCTGTTTTCTGTCGTTTTTTCTCTGCCCAAAAAAAAAAATCGATCGCCTGTTTTCAGTGTCAGTATAATCAACCACACGGCACAGGTGTTATTTATTTAAGGCAATAACTAACAGTCACACATTTCATTTACACAGGGACGCCTCAAGAGACCCTGAGTTTTTTTTTTTTTTGTTGTTGTTGCTAGGCAACCACATTATCATCTGGCAATCAGCTGTCAGCCTGTAATGTCTGTCACCCAGAGATTTCAAGACAAGACAGAGCAAACATAAATATTGTCAAAAGCAGAGCGGAGCTGATGTGACCTCCTCAGCTGAGTCTGATAGGCTGAGACAGCTGTCAGTCAACCAATCACCTTCCTACAGCTACAGCACCCCTTAACAGTTAAAGTCTTTGCAATGTATGAAGAGAAATAATATTTGTAATCATTCTGTTCTCGGAAACAAGTCAATATGTAATTGTGACATTTAACCACTGCTGAAAACTTAATGGGAAATTTAAATCCCACTGTATTTTTAGAATTAAAATATTTTGCTCATCTAAATGTATTAGAGCTGAAAAAAACTGTCAATTAAATGTTTGAAAATAAATCCGCCATTTTCAGAATTAATTAATCAGTTAAGTCATTGTTCGGTTTTATAAGTAGATTGATCAATCAGTGGATCAATAGGCAAATAATATTTCATATATATATTTTAATAATGATTGATTGTTATACTCACTTTTCAAGCAAACAAAGTAAGAATAAAAATTGACATATTTTCAGGTTAAGTTTGAACAAAGTGGGATTTGCAGTTTATCTTGTCATGTGTAATAGAAAACTGAAAGCTCTTGGTTTTGGACCGTCGGTTCGACAAAACAAGACATTTAAAGACGTCACCTTGGATTCTGCACAGTTGTGATGTTTTCTCACTGTCCTTTTGATATTTCATGCATGAAACGATTAAAAAATAAATGGCAGATCAACAATGACAATAATCATCAGCTGCGTCACTGAAACATAAAATAAAATGGATTTCAAAGAAGCAAATACATGTCACATTGATTAACGTAAAATATTTCAATACAAAAAATTCAGTGGTAACAAATAAGTTATAAATAAGATTTTATTTACTCATTTCCACACAAACAAACAATAAAAAAGTAAAATATCCACTAACAGACTTACACTGCATGTGCCATTTTTCAATTATGTTAAAAAAATCAGCTGATTGGGGAAAAGGACTCACCTGATTTTTGTTTTGGTGCATTTTCAGAACATGATATAGGTGCAGATGGATGACAGTAGAGGATGACGCATCGCTCTTTAAGCTGTAGTGCTGCGATTCATCAGACGTTCATCTCACAGTTTGACATGCAATCAAAACTGATCTGCCACAGAGTGACACAGATTAAGACCAAGACTTTATCAGATCATCTCATGCAGTCTGACATGACGTGAACATGCACGGTGGCTGTATTCACACAGTGTGTAGGAGCCTTAACAGAAGCTGGAATGACACAGACTTAATCACCTGTCTCTCCATCTTTCCATGCACTTTGTCTGTCTGTCTGTCTGTCTGTCTGCAGCCTGTCCCAGCTGGTCAGGGAAGACCTGTAACTTTCACGGAGCCTGTCTGGACGGAGACCTTGGCAACGGGACCTGCGTCTGTGATGTTAGTATCCTGTCTGTCTGTGACTGTCCGACCTGTTTGTTAAGGAGTGAAGAGATCAGTATTGTTTATGTCTTTGCCCTTAAATAAACATTAGCACTGATGACATTAGTATTCCTAACTGAGACACTTGACCACTTTGGATTTATGTTGGTCAGCCTCTCCCTGTTTCTTCTGTGTGTTTGGGTGGGGAGGGGGACACTGGGGAAGAACATATTCAGGTTGCTCTTTTGTTTTTTTGTTGGGTGATATTGCAAAACAGAAACTGAGAGTTATAAAAAAACAAAACCTTCTCTTTCTAGGACGGATTCTCCGGCTTTGCCTGTCAGAAGTGTAAGAATCAGAACATGTTTGGAGAAAAGTGTGATAAAGGTAGGTGCTCTAACTTCATGACCTCTGACCTCTTAAAAAAAAAAAGGGGGGGGGGGTCATGTCTTCAGTCAAAGAGAACGTCCTACAGCTGTTTCATAAACTGATACTTCCTGTCATTGTGTCTGTGCAGAGTGTGACTGTGTGCACGGAGTGTGTAATGAAGGTCCAGAGGGTGATGGACAGTGTTTGTGTCAACCACCGTACACTGGGAAGCGCTGTGACCAAGGTAAGAGCATTATAGATTACATAAACCATATGAGGCTATATCAGACTGTATTGTTGCATGTTATTGGGTTGGGATTATTGGGTAACTGGTGCCTTACTCACAGGTGGACAAAAATCAAAACACTAGAAGTACTACTGAAAACTATGTGAATGCTGTTTCCTGCATTTACATCAACGTAGTAAATAATGTATGAAAGTGTCCACAGTATTAATGGTAGTCGAGGCTCGGCTGGTAGAGTTAGCCAAGCTATGGAAATAGCTGTATTATTAATTCAATATCCACACTGAAAATAATTAGCGTAATTGACAATGAACATGTAATGATAGATGATGTTTTATTTGCCTCTGTACTGAAAGGATAAACATCTCATCTCTGATTGATATTCCGTTCTGCGCTTGTAGGAGTAAATTAAATTTACTCCTCTCAATCAAAATAGGGGATCACATTTTTTTCCCCCACACAAAACAAGCAGAGGAGGTTACAGTAGCTTTTCCAGCCCTGAGTATTGCCTGCAGATCTCCCTTTCAGGCTGCATATGGCCCCTTCAAGCTCCACCAACTAGATGATTACATGAAACTGGGCACAAAGCGCTTGTTGCTGCTTCGGGAGCTCACAGCAACAGTTAAGGGCGACTAGATGACAGTATCAGCTGAACTGACCGGACTTTGGCAACTAGATCGTCATAGGACACTAGATTTTAGTGCGTCACATCAAACTGAAACAGTTAAAGGAAGGGGACCATAAAGGATTTTAAATTGTGGGGTGGGGGTGGGGGGGTCTTGTTATCTGGGTGTCAGCTAGTGAGACTCAAGGTGACACACATTGCATTTACTGCAATCCCGGTACCTGTTTGCTGTCTGTATGATGTTTGTATGAGCTGCTGTTGTGTTTGTGTCGTCGGCAGTGAGCGCCAGGTGCAGTAACTGCAGCCCCTACTCGTTCTGTAAAGGAGAGGGAGACACGGCCGACTGTGAATGCTTGCCCGGGTACAGGAAGACGGCACAGGGCAAATGCGCAAGTAAACACACAGCTCCACGCAGTCATCTCTGATTTCTCGGTTTGATTTGAACACTGCTTTTAATTTTGGTCTGTTGGTCCATTGGTCCAGTTTTGTGTTAGCATGCTGATGTTAGCCAAACCTCGAGTTTAGCTTAGCTTTTGCTAAGGGAGAGATTTCAGACACAGACCGGTTCTTCTCTCCCTAGAGCGACAGGTCGACAGTCTCTCCTTTGCTGTCGAGATACAGAACAAGAATTAGGACAGGAACATGAAACATGTTAAATAAATGATTGGGACCAGAACCAGAACCAGTTCCTATGCCTCCTATCGCTTTTTTTAGAAATAATTTTTTCAGTTCATTTAAATAAAACGAACAAACAAGAGTTAGTTATCTTTGTGTCTCATCTGGACTCTTCACTTTCCTGTTCAGGTATTTGTTCACCGAGGGACTGTGACGTCAACGCCCAGTGCTCCTCACAGGGGTCAAAGGTCAGCTGCGTCTGTAAGCCCGACTACCAGGGTGACGGCAGGATCTGTGTACCCAGAAACCCTTGCTCCGACAACAATGGAGGATGTCCCATCAACTCCACCATCTGTGTCTTTAAAGGACCCAACAAGGTGAGGAGATCAGAGCCAGGACCAGACGCAGATGGAGAGAGAGACGTCAACAACAAAACGTGTCCTTGATTAGAACCAGAAACAACGGCACAGAGAGATGATGTCATAACAAACATTCAGGAGAGTCTGGATTACAATTACAACCCAAATAAAAAACTCTGTCTGTGTCTCTGTCTGTCTCTCTGTCTCTGTCTGTCTGTCTCTCTGTCTCTGTCTCTGTCTGTCTCTGTCTCTGTCTGTCTGTCTCTCTGTCTGTCTCTGTCTGTCTCTCTGTCTGTCTGTCTCTCTGTCTGTCTCTAGAGTTTTTTATTTGGGTTGTAATTGTAATCCAGACTCTCCTGAATGTTTGTTATGACATCATCTCTCGTGCCGTTGTTTTCTGGTTCTAATCAAGGACACGTTTTTGTTGTTGACGTCTCTCTCTCCATCTGCGTCTGGTCCTGGCTCTGATCTCCTCACCTTGTTGGGCCTTTAAAGACACAGGATGGTGGAGTTGATGGGACATCCTCCATTGTTGTCGAACAAGGGTTTCTGGGTACACAGATCTCCTGCCGTCACCACCTGGTAGTCGGGCTTACAGACGCAGCTGACCTTTGACCCCTGTGAGGAGCACTGGGGCGTTGACGTCACAGTCCCTCGGTGAACAAATACCTGAACAGGAAAGTGATAAGAGTCCAAGATGAGACACAAAGATAACTAAACTCTTGTTTGTTCTATTCGACAGCAAACGGAAGAGACTGTCGACCTGTCCGCTCTAGGGAGAGAAGAACCGGTCTGTGTCTGAAATCTCTCCCTTTAGCAAAAGCTAAGCTAAACTCGAGGTTTGGCTAACATCAGCATCTAACACAAAAACTGGACCAATTGGACCAACAGACCAAAAATTAAAAGCAGTGTTCAAATCAAACAAACAGAGAAATAGAGATGACTGCGTGGAGCTGTGTGTTTACTTTGCGCCATTTGCCCTGGTGCCGTCTTCCTGTACCCGGGCAAGCATTCACACAGTCGGCCGTGTCTCCCTCTCCTTTACAGAACGAGTAGGGGCTGCAGTTACTGCACCTGGCGCTCACTGCCCGAGACACAAACACAACAGCAGCTCATACAAACATCATACAGACAGCAAACAGGTACCCACG